TACATATTTTCAGAATAATCCCAAAAAACGATTTAAAATTGTAATTTCAAACACCCTGTATTTCCGAAACTATTAACTTTCGGATAAGGCATGTTTGCGCCAATGGTCACCATTTCACGTGTAGTATCTTCAGCTTTCGACTTTCCCATTGTTAATGAATCACCCTGTAGATAACACTGTAAACTAAATTTTAAATTAATTTTGTTTAGTGTTATCAATTTTTAGGAGGGCGGTACCCCAGAGATCGCCCCGCATCAGTCGCCACTGAATACATATGTATACAAAGCCACAATTAAAGTATTCTGATATTTTATATTGGCCCTCATTTGGATTTCGCGCTAACGGCGTCCGTGAAGTCGGACCTGATGTTTTCCTTATTTGTTTTAATTTTGAACCACATTCGAAACATTTAATGACAGTATCGTTAATTTTACGGCGCCGAAGAGGGTTTTCCCCTAGCGTCGTAGCGATAATAATGATCATTGGTTCATTAAGCACGTTTTCCAAACGCCCCTGACCTATCTCACATATCGTCGGATGTTAAGCCACACAAACAACAGAAAATTATTATGTCATACTAGTCATATCCGTCTTGCGATACTAAATGGTATTTCACCGTTTTATAAACTCACAGTAAAGTTTAAGTCACCATCGGGATCTGATTGTGAGAATATTTATAAGCCGGCACTCCCACCGTACAATTCTTTGACGTAGCGAGCAACAAGTAATATTTTCGCCTAATTTATCAGCAAAATAAAGGTCTGAGGATGATGGATACAAATATTAATGATTTTCGTTTTCTTATCAAAGCGAATAATGACAGTAGAATAAAGTATACTTATCACCGATGTATAGGTAGTATCTACGACGTAAAAAAAATAGGAAGTCAACAACATTATAGATGCCATAGATAGCTTGAGATAACCCACATTGTACGATTTTGTAATAATCACATATAATAATATGCAGGTTATTCCCGAATAAAAAATGCCAACCATCGTTCACTAGAAAAAGACAGCAATATTGTCTTTTCTTTCATGTCTACTGTTTTTTTAATAGTTTAATTATTATTTACTGTAAGTACGAGTAATAACTTGTCTTGTTTCTTTTCTGCTCTATAGATATGAACTTACTCTGATTCCATACTTAATTTTTCTAATTCTTCATGCCTCTGATTTATTATTCTTTTTCTTGTCAAGAAATCGGCGTACACTCGCAGAGGGCGACATCTGTTGGTAAATAATGAAGTCACTACAAATCGGTGATACATTTATGTTAGAGATTTTATATTTCTTGTTTCTTGTGTGTTTTAAAAAACTTCATTGAAGTCAGCTGACTCACCTGGTTGTAAATAGCGTTCAGTGTAATAAATTGAATAATAATAATTTGTGCGATGTAATAATTTTAATCTAAAGTAATTATCGCTGATTATGCCAGATAGGTTTTAATACATCTGATACGTATAAATTAAATACAATATCGGATTGATATTACGTAGTTCACCAACGTGAGAGGTCACTGACTGTGATATTCACTAACTAAACACAGTGCTTTAAAAAATATATACTGACGATTACTTTGTTTTAATTTGAAGTGATTAAGAGAAATTTCACATTTATATCGGATTATTATTTTTATTTATTTTTTACTATACAGGGTGTAACTTTGAGCAGGGGTCGTATTTATACAGAGGCTTCCTTTGACCCTTAGAAATACATATCAATAGTTTATTTTTTCAAATTCCATCGTAAAAATTTAATTTTATTAAAAATTTTCTTTTTAGTAATTTTCGTAACTGACGGCCTTCGCTTCGTCACCCTTGACCCGCACTATCTCCCTTCACATGCGCTGTAGGTTGCCCACAATTCATATATTTGTAAAATACATGAATATTACAGTAACGGCATACACAAGTATTAAAGTGCATTTAATAATCTAATTATAGGTAACTCGACTGTGTTTTCGATTAAAAAAAAAGAAAAAGCATTCAGATTTGTATTCAGGGGAATACATACTATTACCCCTAAAAAACTGACCCTTACTTATACACCCTGTATACATCCAATAAAACAACTTTTTTAATGTTCGGCGCTTTGTCGGTGTTGACATTAAAAAATATGTGACTAAAACAAGTGACAAAATCATACAAAAGCACTCTACTTTTACAAATTTATTTTCCATTGCAGTTTCATTCTCTGTCATTCTGTTAAATCCAAATAGTTGGTTTAAAAAGTGACAAGTAAAGCAGATAAGCATGTATAAAAAAATTCAAGAGGTGCCCAGTAACGTCGTAGACAAGAGTTGAAATGCGGTGTAAAAAACGATTAACTCGACTAATTATTTAATTAAAAAAAAGTAATTTCAGATTAGTATTCTGGAGAACAAGTATTTGAATACTTACACCTTGTTTTTCCCCTTTTTTATTCTCAGTCTTAAATATCCTAAGTTCTCCAAAATATGAATACATTAAACCCAAAAAAAAAATCACTCACCCACTTGGACCCGGAACACCACTGTAAATGTAAATACATTTGTGTGTTCAGCTTTACTTCTGACTTGAATTTTGCAGCGCCATCTAGTTTTTCATGAATATTGTGTACCCTAACCTTACTTCTTCATAGTTTTGGTTCTTTACCTTTTTTATTAACACAACACAGTTGATTAATTTGGTGTTTTCTTTCAGGTGGCAATAAAAATAATCGATAAGACTGTACTAGATGAAGAAAATTTAACTAAGATATTTAGAGAGACTGCCATACTAAAGAAACTTAGACATCCTCATATTACAAGGCTGTATCAGCTTATGGAGACGGATCAGACAATATACCTGGTCACCGAGTATGCCAGTAAAGGAGAGATATTCGGTACGTACTAGAAAAGTCACTGATGCCTGGAGGAGGTTAATAGGAGCCCTAGTATTGAACTCTGAGGAACACCTAAACTTACTTGAGGCGACGATATGCCTTAAAGGATTCTGTATGATTTATTTTCTGTTTTTAGATCATCTGGTGGCAAAGGGCAGAATGTCCGAACCAGAGGCCAAAAGAATATTTAGTCAAATTGTGTCGGCTGTAGGTTACTGTCATTCTCAGGGCGTAGTTCATAGAGATTTAAAGGCTGAAAACTTATTATTAGACCATAATATGAATATTAAGGCAAGTATTAGCCAGCACATTTTTTTCAAAAATAATTCATTCTCCATTAAATTTTGACTGTTCGTGAACTGTTTTTTTGTTAACAACCTCATTGTTGTAGCTTGCTGATTTCGGGTTTAGCAACCAGTTCACGGACGGGTGCCTGTTGTCCACGTTCTGCGGGTCACCACCGTACGCGGCACCAGAACTTTTTCAGGGCCTTAACTACGACGGTCCTAAGGCAGACATATGGGTAAGCAAAAAACATTTACATACAAATATCTGTAATATTTATTGTATCAGATTATAAGCGGTGTAATAAATTATAGGAAGCGAAGCGAAGTTAATCGCCCCTCGTAAACGTTAGATTTATGGCATCACGCTTTTTTAATACACCACACACGTGAGAATCAGGAAAATTGTTTATATTGCTGGAATTTTATATCATTTAACTCATCGAATGATATCTTGGAATACTTTTGATCAGAGTTAAAGGTCAGTTTTCCTAAACAATTGGTGGTATCTAATGGTAACTACTTTTGCGGAGATGCAATGAAGTATAAAAATTGAAATGTCACACGGGCATTTTTTTTGTAAAAAACAGAATCCAGTATAGAAAATAATGAGCGACAGTCCTAAGCTTCCCATCAACATAAAAAAGCTCCCTCCAGAAAGCGCATGTGCAGTTTAATGAATTCTTCATCCTCGTTCTACGTCACAAAGCAGTCTCTGACTTCTTGGTGTTCCATTATTATCAAATTGTTCCCAAAATTGTAAATAATTTTGGGATCTCTAGTTTCGATACAAATTCTATGCTCTTTGGATTAGATCAAACGTCAAAGTTCTATAAAAGTTTAATGATGAAATTTCTCAAGGTTTTTATCACGTTGTGGATCAATTACGTCATCGCTGTTAAAAAATGCGAAAAAATTTAGAACCGAAGTACAAAGAGCTGTTGTACATTTAAATTCATATTTACATAGAATAAACGCGTTGGCTACTTCTCGAGCATGTTTATGAAAATTGTTTTAAAGTAATCATGGATAAAAAAAAACAGTAACACCATTAGCACCTAACAAATAACGATTAAATACAATATTTACATCTAGTTATGATAATTCTTTTTGTTTTATTAAAAAAAAAACTGCACGTGGTTTCCAGAGTTTGGGTGTTGTTCTTTATGTGCTGGTATGCGGTTCTTTGCCGTTTGATGGTCCAACGCTCCATGCCTTAAGGAATGTCGTGATAGAAGGAAAATTCCGTATTCCATATTTCATGTCACAAGGTACGTTTGTCAAAAACAAAAAATGTATTTTAAATAACATTAGAGCAGGTATGCGTCAGGTAGCCAGAATCCCAATGACGCCTGTCACATTTGTCGAAAAATTATGATTATTCTGCTGAAGGAAGCAGTAGATTTAAATAAAAAGGAAACTCATTCCATTAAAAAATTTTTCATTATTATTTAGTTAAATGTACATTAACTGTTAGTTTTTGCTTTCAAACTTCATTTTGCATATACAGGGTGTTTCTGAATTATATGCAAAAATTTTAAATACGAATTGGGAATCGGAAAATAAGAAAAAAAGTTCCTATGGACGTATGTCCGGAAACGATTCGTTAAGGAGTTATGGCCGTTTAAAAATGGCTATCAAAACCGAGTTTTTAATTTTTTTCTCAAATTTGAAAACAGATAAAATCCTGAATTTAATTTGGAATGGGTGAAATCAACAACACCCTGTATATTTTTCATGAAAACATTTGACTCGTTAAGATTTTAATTGTTGCAATACATCTTTTGGCGAGACAGATTAATTTAAAAACTTTTTCATCTCTTTCATTTTTTTCATGAAATAAGTAGTTTTTGAGTAAAAATATAAAATTGTGTTCCACATTAAATCGGTACATGTACCATAATTCCTTAATGGCATAGTAGGCTGCTGTCAATTCTGATTATCGTTGACATTAATTAATTTTGGCATTGTTAGTTGTTTTATTTCTAAGGATTTTATCTGTTTTCAAATTTGAGAAAAAAATTTAAAACTCGATTTTGACCGCCATTTTTAAACGACCGTAACTCCTTAACGAATCGTTTCCGGACATACATCCATAGGAACTTTTTTTCTTATTTTCCGATTCCCAATTCATATTTAAAATTTTTGCATATAATCCTGAAACACCCTATATTAACATACTACGACGAACAACTTAGCTTTCATCCAGCAAATCCATTTATAAAAAAAGCTTGTACTGTTTTTTCGTAGACTGCGAACACCTAATCAGGCACATGCTGGTCGTGGACCCGGACAAAAGACTGACGATCGCCCAGATAGTGAAGCACCGCTGGCTGAGCGATGCCCCGCCGGTGGACACGGGTCCCGAGCGGGAGACGCAACTGAACAAGACAGTGATAGACCACATGCTGCAGCTACCCAACCTCAGTCAAGCGATGATAATGCAGTCACTTAAGAACAGAACCTTCGACCACATCTACGCCATCTACAACCTACTCGTCGACAAACTACATTACCGAACGATGAATTTCCAGTCGAAAGTGTTGCAGCACTGGGTGGACAGCAAGCACAGGGTCGACCAGGCGGGTTTGGGTGAGGAATCATACAAAATTTGTCGTATTACAATTTTTTTTAATTATTTTTGTTAGGCGAGTTACTGTCTGCGAGATCGCCCAAGATAAACGAACGCAGCGAATCTTTCAACGAGAAACAGCTGGCGATACAACTTGCTACGGAAGGCGAAAATCCTGATGCGGCACAGCTCGCTGACGAGCCATTCAACTACAGGAGGGAGAGCTTCAACGAGAACTGTTTGAGAGACATTCGTGACGAGACCAACGAGAGGCTGAGGTCATTGAATGAGGGAATTTCCGAGGAGGCCGGGTCTCCGTTTGTCTCGATGCCAGCCATACCCGCCGTATACTTAGCCGGCGATGGCGAAAATCAACCCTTGGAGAAGGTATACTCACCGTTTACAATTTTGGTCCTTCGAACAGGATTGAATATGAATTTTACAGTTCGGTGAAATGGACCTGGACACCAGTGATGACGCTTGCTCCTTAACCGTCCCATCGGCATCTACAGGCTACAGCAGCTGCTCTTCGTCGGGCGATAAGTATCTGACCATCAGGAGGCATACTGTCGGACCAGGCGATCCCGCACACGAACAGGTAGGTAGAATGTGGTAAGGTCTCGTCACGCAATTGTACATTTCGCTCATTTAGGTTTTGGAGAGTCACTACATGGCGCAGAACCCTCAAGACCCGAACGGCGCAAAATTACTTCCCCACACGAATCTTCCGTTGCACCTTCCGACCTTGGGGCAGCAAAATCCGCACTATTTCGGTGGGAAGGATCCCCACCTGTTGAAACCGCCCACGGTGCTAAGCGCAGTGGGCGGCTTCGGTAGACGAGCTTCAGGCAAGTTATATTTTTATAATTCCGTAAATATTTTGACACAATTTTATAAAACATGATTTTAGATGGGGGAGCAAACCTACACATGGCTTGGGGCACGCCCGGGTCGCACGAACAGCTGTCTATGATGTCGACCAGTTCCAGTGGTAACCCTAGTCTGAGCAGTGGCACCGGAACGCAACCTTTGGACCACAATCAGCATGCCTTTGAGGAGTTAGCCGTAGCCCGGTAAGAACATTTTTTAACGAAAATATTTAACAATTCAACGTCATTTGTTTGCTCAGGTACATGCAAGGCAGGGGCAACACGAAGAGGCACACCATGGCGAATCCCGAGGACGTACATTCTCTGCAATCGACGGCTAGTTCGGGAGGTCGAACGAGGCGGACGGGTCTCCTCACTGTGATGGAAAGACCGCCAGGTAACTTAAGATCTTCTAGGAGGTAGTTTTTGTAGTCAGTAATATATTAATCGAATCCAGTGTGCAGAGAAATTTTAACAAATTAGAGCCAGTATAGAGAAAATAAAAGAAAACGACGTTTGGTTGCGCCAAACTAGGATCGTAAAGTGTTTTAGTTGTATGCTAAATGTTTCATAGGAGAAGATAAGGTAGTTTAAAAGAACTACAAGTATTAAGCCAAAGTTAGTACCTTAATACCGTTAGGGAATATGAAACGATATCTAATTTAAACAAATTCCAAATGTGGTGTTTCTAATTTTCCATTATTGGTGTTGTATTAGTTAGGATGTTGTAACAGTAAAGTAAACGTACGTTCAAATATTCAACCGTCTCGAAGGTACAGTCCTAATCGTAATTAGATGTTTCTGTGTGTTTTTTTTTTTGTTTTTAACACAATCACGCTGCCAGCACACATTTGTTTTTTTTAATCCATCTCGTAATAATACTTCTCGTTTGCCGTTGTTGTACATAGCTAGTTATTTATGATTTTGTTTAGTTCCCGTACCGTAGTTATTTTCTGTTGTAATATGCATGCACTTTACGTTGTCAGTAATCCCGCCTGAGATCGTGATGGAGGTAGAGGCACGCATGAAGCGCAACTATATGCCCTCGATCTTGCCGCAACGCAAGCACAGCAGGCACGCCGTAAAGCCGCACTTACCTACCGTGCAGGAGCTCCAAGGTAGGTAGACTGCAGACGTACCATTTGGAAATTAGATCAGTTGTGTTAGATTCCCAGTTTTTTTCATGCAAAAAAAAGCGACCGGTAGGTTTAAAACTGTGCGAAGTGCCAATTTCTAATGTTGTGACTTGTGTAGGGCGCGAACAGAAGTCCATGGAACGGTTCTCGCCGGTGAGGAGAGGCAGTGAAGGTTCGGCCGGGGGCTCGCGCACTCTGAGCCCGTCCACGCCGCAGCAGGAGTGCCAGAGGCTGCAGAGGGGACTGCAGAGCAGGGCCAGCCCTCCGAGGTCTATTCCAGGTAGGCCGGTGTAGTAGTTCAAATGTATTTTTATTGCATATCAGCGTCATTTAAAAAAAAGACAACATTGAGGTTTAGATTGTACGCGGGAGCGCAAATGGCTCCATCTGTCGTGCAGACTCCCAACTGTGCCATTCAAATGGCTACAGTAGGAAGCTACCTGCTATATTGCAGGTACTTGTTGCACGACTGCCACCCACAGAGGGCGAAGACAATGTTTTAATTGTCAGTGTTGCGAGAAACAACTACTCCAAGGGCTATATGCCCCTACCGGCATTGAATTATACTCGCAACACCTAGAGATCGTTCGTCAGTTTAACTCACCAGGCACAGACCGGTTTCGGACTTATTAGGCGAGGTTCTTCGTTTGTCGGTTGTCTCACCTATGACACACTGATAAGGACTAATAAGTTTGAAACTGGTCTGTGCCTGGTGGGTTAAGCTGACGAACGATCCTTAGCTGTTGCTCTAGGTGTTGCGAGTATAATTCAATGCCGGTAGAGGGATATAGCCCTCGGAGTAGTTGTTTCTCGCAACACTGACAATTAAAACATTGAGGTTTAGATCTGTTTTATAGCAATCATGCCATAGCTAAATAATTGCAAATAAACAATATATCTAATATATGGTTAAAACGGACATTAGTACATACTTACATATCGGTAGTTCAAATGTATTGTTACAGTTTTGAAGTTGTTAACAATATTGAAATTGATATTTTCTTTATAAGGGTCACCGATCCATCAACAACTCGTTTCTAATCAAATCTCGGACTGCTCGTCTCCCATCCATCAGTTCTATTCCACGTTACCCGACGGCATCAAGATCCAAGACCTGCAGAAATATTCTTCCTCTCGAGACCCATCTGTTGGATTATCTGGCGAGAACTACCAACAACAAAACTACGCCTCATATGATGCTTCAAACCGCAGCCCCAGTTACTCCTATGAGACTGTCAATCGCAGTCCTCTCCATACCTCTCCTTATGCGACTAATCCTAGCAGCAGCCTGAGTTCACCTATCCAGCAGAGTATATTCGGACAAGTTCCCGGTCTTGGGGTATATTCGGGGGCGAATTCCCCTATTCTCAATCCCCTGTTGAGTCCTAACACTTCCCCCGTTTTCGGAGGTTATGGCCAAACCACTCCTGTCAGTAGCGTTTCATCTATTACGCAAGGTAAGTGTTACTATTTTAAAATGTGTACCACAGGGTATCGTTTTAAGCCCTCTTGGTTTTTGTAAGCATATAAACGATACTCGAATATATATTGATCGAAATAACCCCTAAATTTCATGTTAACATGAAAGTCTCTTTATTCAGGCATTAGTGGTTTGAACACCACTAGCACCGGTTCTATAACCCAAGGCATTCCCTCGACCAACCTCCAGCTGGAGCTGCGCAACCAGCAGCTCCACGACGACTCCAAAATGGACACCTCTGGGGCATATCCGTCGAATCTTGCCACAAATCTGCCGTCATTCATACCTACCGCACCGAACTTTTTGCACCAACCGCATCATATGCACATCCTGAACATCCACAATCACCGCAGTTTGACCAACTCGCCGATCAGTAATCCTGGCAGTCCCGGTTTGGATATGATCCAAGAGGAGATCCATGTTCAGAGCTGTCCGAAGAGCGACCCGGGCGTCAGCGGACACCCGCAGATATCCGTAACGGACGTATTAGGTAAAAATTTTGTATTACAAATTGCTTCTCCTACTATTTCTAATCATTATGAATTTATATAAAAATTTTTATCTCTATTTGCCTCTTATATCAAGTAATTTTTTTCAAATTTGTTCACTTATTATTGGTAACAAACTTTTACCCTTTTTTCAGACGTTAATGTCGTCACTGAACTCAAAAAAAGATGGATTTTTGAAAAAAAATAGCTTTTTTTTTTAATAACCATAACTTTTTCAAAAATTGAGTTATCGGGAGATTTTTTTTTCAAAATTTTTGTTTTTGAATGTACTTTTTGAAAAACAAAATAGATCAAAATTATCTGGGCCTATCTTCAGTTTTTTTTTTCAATTTCAAAAAGTCAAAAGAGGATGGTTTTAAAATGATGTATTTAAGGATGTTCGATACATCTCTTTCGGGGCAGGCAGTGCGGGAGGGAAGCCTATGCTTATACACGGTAGTTTCGTTGTAGTACCAACCTTACATAAACTAATTTGAGCGAACTAAATATAATATAAACGAATGAAATTTATACAACACATATTAGCTTGCATATATTATTCGTGTTTAATGCACGGCAATTAACTTTTTATTTGAATAAAAGTGTCTATTTGTTCATTAAGAGCTTGTAAAATTATGGATGAAATCTGGCAACATTGTTATGGCGTGGTAGTAAAAGTTGGGTCAACTGTCATTACTGTCAACTTTGCGCTTATTCCGTAAACATGAATGAACAGGAAAAGTAATGACTGAAAAGTAATATAAAATGCGTATGAAACAGAATGTGGGTTGATGAGAAAAAAGTAAAATGTGCAAACCGAGAATCCTTATGATAACTATCAAGAAGTTCAGTGTATGACAGTGAGACGTCGCCTTGTCAAATTGAAGATTTTGACAGAACATCTATACTGTTCGTTTTGCAAAGAGATCCTTTCAATTTTTGTTTCAAATTGCTATTATATTGCATTAGATCACGAAAAATGTATTTAATATTAATTATTACTACATATGTTTTCGACTGGAATAATTTTATAGTCTATAATCGAGCTATTCAAATATAGCGCGTCAGTCGAAGCATTAAATACAGCGTACAGTGTTCACATATTTCCTTTTGTTGGATCAGATGTTTGTTCAAATTTATCAAAACGTTATATATTCATTCCATTATCTCAATAATTACATTGTAAGTGCATATTTTTATTGTTTTAAAATGTTTAGTAATATTTAATTACAATTTTATTTTCCCGATCCTAACCATTTTTAAGAGCAATATTCATGTTTGATTAAAGTTTTTGCCCCAACTCCCATAAGAGCCTGTGTATAAGAGCATAATTTTTAATATCATTTTAAAAAATAACTACATTGGCAATCGATCTGATATTTTTACACGAGACAGTTTGCATATTTATTAACAGATTTCAATTGCTTTGAAAACTTTCTTACCATTTTCTTTTCGGTATCGAACCTCCTTAAGTTCAAATGTATTGCATCTCTTTTTTTAAAGCTCACTGTTCATCCAAAAATGGATCAAATAACAACTTTTTTTTCATTTTTTTTATTTTTGGATGTAGTTTTCGAAAAAAAATACAAAAAAATTATTCAAAATGATCTATTTTTTTCTTAACTTTAAAAAAAAAATATAGAAATTTTTTTCATGTTTACCACTTTCAATTATTTCTTTTATATATTTTTTCAATTTTGGGATTCTCAAAAATGTTCAAAATGGTGTTATGTGAAATAAGCTAAATTTGAAAAAAAAAAAATTTTCAATGAAGAAAAAAAATAGAGAACAAAAAAACACCACGCTGAAAAAATTTGAAGATTTATAAAATGTTTCTTATAAAAAAAAAACATTCAAAAATGAATCGAGAAATTTTCATTTTTTTTTTGAAAATTGAAAAAAAAACAGTGAGGATAGGTCCAGAAATCTTTGATCTATTTTTTTCCAAATGGTACATTTACAAACAAAAATTTTGAAAAAAGAACCTCCCGATAACTCAATTTTTGGAAAAGTTGTTATTTAAAAAAAAAGTTTTTTTGAGTTGGGTGAAAAAATTGATAAAATCTCAGAGGTTTTCAATGGGGTAGAAAACAATAAAAAAATTTCAGCCAAATCGAAAGAGGTCAAGTGGTCGATTTGGCGTGGAATGCCCAATTTGTATTTCTTATCATTCTGCCTTGTTACATCTCTAGGACAGATAAGGCATAAATGAATAAATAAATACATTTCTGATTTAGGGAGCGAAGTGACGTTAGTCGCGGGCTCTGACACGTCCGAGGATTCCATGGACAGCCTCGACAACCAAAAAATAGCGAAAATCCCCTCGTTCATCATCTCGGAACCCTCGGAAAACCTACCGTCTATCACACGGGGCATAGGCCGGAAAACCAGCCAAGAAAACGAGCCGGGCGAGGCAAAATTTTGCGGTAAACCCGGGGAACCAGAACCACATACGGGAGAAGAGTTTTTTCTGAGGCGGAATTCCGATAAGAGCTCTTGTTATTCAGACGATTCCTTGTCTAACGACAGCTTGAGTATCGGAAACCAAAGTCCCAGTTCCAGCTCCAACACGCAATCCAGCCACGCTTTCGACAGTGATATACGTTCCCGACCCGTTGACAAGAACTTCGAGCAAATTCAAATCAACCAGGAACTGACGAATGCCGGTACGGAGAACTTCCAGATTTTTCAGAACCTAAAACTCAGCCTGGGCGATTCGGGGATATTCACCATTCAACACGCTGAAATGAACAATCGACTCGGCGACCACTGTGTTGTGCCCCCCTCGAACCTGCACAAGAATTCCGGGTCCTTCGAGTTCGAACTCTCGGAGGTTTGTTCGAAGCTCCAGTCGACCGACATCCTGGAAATCGTGAAAAAGACAATTAACGACCAAATACCTCCTAAGACGTGTTTTCGGTCAGAGGACGTGAGTGATAGGTTAAGTCTGGAGTACGAGGGGGGCATCCAGATTGAGTTGAAGATCATCGAGAAGCCCAAGGACTCGAAAGGTCTGAAGATGAGGAGGATATCGGGGGATCACTTAGTCTATAATCAGCTGTGCCAGCAGCTCATCTCCTGCATGACTGTGTCCTAGCATTTAAAGTAAGTTTTAATTGTTTTTTGTTCTTTTTCGAAAGTGCCATTTTGTTTCGGCGCGCCACTGATGAGTTGATTTGCCGCCAGTGTTTAATACACTTGGGGTTACGTAAAGTTTGGAACAATGAGGTTAAGTACGAGTAAACTTTGGAACTTTGGGGTTATGTAAAGTTCTGAAGTTTGAGGTTATGTGAAACCCCATTACGGTTTCAAAGAAACGAATTGGGCTCTGTTTGACGATGCAATCAATTAGGCGAAATCCGGAATTGGATTTCGTTTCGACAGCTCCCGACGTTCTACGATGTGATATGAAGTTTACGAGGAAATAAGGTGGCACTTTGTTTTTGCCAACGTCCCTTTGCGTTCTAAGAAAATTTCACTTAGTTGAGTTTTAGTTAGGTAAGGTAGGATCATAAAGGAAACGTAGCCGCAAGACGCAACTGTACTAATGATAAAGCCGGGGGTCGCGCTTCGTAAAGTTTTATTTTGCGGGGCAGGGTCCATCCTAGTTTCACCGAGCTGATCTCTTCTCATTCACCGTGCAAGCCTAAAAACCGGGGAAAATATTCGTAGCCAAATAGATATATTTTTTTTGTTCCGTCTAGTAAGGTTAGGTTGTAAGTTTGAGTTGCCCAGTTTCGGTTTTCGTTGCCATATTGTTTTCCGACGTTCGACATTCCATTTTTTTTGCTTCTCTCGCTGAGTTTAGTTTATCAAATACCAGGTTACCACACACTGAGATTTTTTTTCTTTTTTTTTTTTGAAAGATACGACTGAGGACTTTGCTAGTCCCCGTCGAGACCTAAATAAGTAAATGAATTGTACATATATTTTAAATAATGTAAATATTGCACAACTACTTGTATATATACATATATTTTAGAGATACTACTGTAATATTTTTTTTTCTCAAGATCGTGATAGGTCTGCTGTATGTTTACATTGAGTAGTCATTTTAGTTGTAGGGTTAATATTCCTATTATAATTAGTTGGTTTCCAGAACCGTTGTCATCTTTTTTGGCGACTTTCAGCAAACGATACCATTTCTTCTTCGCCATAATAACTTTACTTACCACAATCATCAACGTAGCATAAACTTACGAAAGTCGCAGTGAATTTACATTGATTTAAACACGACCACACATTTTATTTTTTAATTCTATGAATTAACTTTCTTTTTTTTTTTGTTGAAAGTAGCCAACTAGTATAATAACAGAATGCATATGAATAATATTTTTTGGCAGAATTGTTTATAAAACCTCAAAATTTGATAAAATCGAGAAATCAAGTGACTTTTTAATTATTAGAGTAATGTTTGTTTTTAACTTTGTTATTTGGAAAGCGTGTTGCATAGAAGCAGTGTTTTTTGATGCGGAATATTACTAACGATTAGAGATGGGCACTTTTCGGAAAAGTGTGTTACGGACATGTCGGGAAAAGTTCTTTTGACCTTGCACTGCCTGAAGGTACACAAAGCAAAATACTACTTTTATTCTAATGAATATGTCGATATAGTTTACTTACTATTATTACCTACCTTTAGACTTTTTATAAACTGATTTCTAATTTTCCCCGGACAGCCAATACACTTATTTAAATGTTTTTCCATCCTACTGGAATTCTTTAAAATTGTTTTTGAGCAGAAGTTACATTTATAATGATTTTTACTCAATTCAGAATATAACCAAACTGTTGATTTTGGCGTCATACTTCATTTATAAACTATTTGTGCATTAAATATTAAATTAAGAATCAACTGATTACTATTTACTGATCGTTAACTTTGCCAAAAGTAATAAAATATCGACATATAAAAAAGATTATATTTTTAAAATGTCAGTTTCAGTTAAACAATTACCAACAAAATTACAAGAAAATAACTAAATATCTTTAATTTTACATGTACCAACCTCAAAAATTTTTTGCGGGATTTATAAATGCAACAAATAATTTCGCGCATGCGCATACAACTTTTCAATCTTGAAAATGTCCTCAGGACATGTCCACTTTTCACGACATGTCCGATGGACAAACATGTTCAGCTGACATGTCCGCTGCACATCTCTACTAAGGATATTTCATTTCACTTTTTTAAATTAAGATTATGTGATCCTTATATGACTTTCTTATGTACTTTTTAATTCTACACAAAAAAAAATGCACTTAGAAAAATTTGCTGGACTGCTTCTTTTATGTTTTTTTCCTGTTCACAAATTTTTATTATTCAGGGTGTGTTGAAGACATTAAAAGGGAAAGGATGTTCAAGATGATGACCGTTTTCATAATGTCGTAAATTGATTCCTTTTTTTTTTAAACTGTCTTTTGCGATAACTCTGGAAGATCTTAGTGTTGCCAACTATTTCAAAAAAGTCGCTACGGCATTATAAAAATTCCAAGTTTTGGAATAAATCGTAGAAATTAGATAAACCTTTGTTGATAAATTAAACAAGAAAATTTCATTTTACCAATGACTCATAAAAAGTAGATAATTTATAAAAACATCTCATTATATTTCAAAAATGTACAATAATTACAGACTTTCTACACCATTAATTTTAAATTTTCTAAGAATTTACTGAAAACGGTGTTTCATGACTTCGAATATTCTGCAATTTATCAGAATTAGTCCTGATGCCGCTCCATCGCTCTGAAAAGGAAACTCCACCACAGTTCTGATATGATTTGGCAACACTGGAATAATCTTTCAGTTCATTGTACCTCCTTATGTACAATTCAAAATAAGGAGGCTGTACTCTAGTGTGGATGGGATATAACCTATAAAGTATATGTCACTGCTATGCCATGCCTACTGGCAGAAAGCATTACTTTGTATCTACTGGCAGAGTGACCTACTAGGTATTAAGAAAGCATGCCTAATGTTGCATTGTAGCCCCTCCCCTACAGTAGTTTCTGACAATAGCTGCTTTCCGTTTGATGAAAAATGTACTTCAGAAGCACTTCAGACTAGCTTTTTGCATTCCAAATGGAAAATGTTGCTCTTAAAGTGGTCATGTTTTATTGTGAAAAATTGTATATTATTTTTCAAAGTATTGTCCATTGCTATCCACTATTTTTTCCCGTCTTTCTGGCAGCATACGAATTCCACGTCAAAAGAACAACTCATTGCAAGTGCTGCTTAGCCAGGCTATGTTCCATGAATCGGAACAATTAGTAATCCGATGAAGCAATATCTGGTGAATATGGCGAGTGGGGTAAAACATCCCATTCCAGCATTTCAAGTGTCTTTTGACTTCATGAGCAACATCTGGTCGAGCATTGTCATGTTGAAAAATTACATTGCCGTGCCCTTGCTCGAATTGCCACCGTGTTTCCTTCAATGCACGGCTCAAACTCATTAATTGTGTTCGGTAGCACTTATCAGTGATAGTTTCATTCGGTTGAAGCAGCTCATAGTGCACATCAAGCTGGTCCGACCATATACAGAGCATGAGCTTCGAACCGTGGATAATCAACCTTGCCGTCAATGTTGATGCATGAGCAAGCAAACCCCACGATCATACTTTAAATACTTATGTGTTCCTCTCGTAGATGTTCCAATTGTTTAAGTTTGGAGTATTTAAAGAGTAGAACAATAGACGAACACTTCAGTGGCAGTTCGCAGACAATTGGAAAGCAGCTAATATCATTAGTTAAAACATTGTACTTTATCCAACATTTTAAAAGAAAGTTTGTAGCATAAAATTACCCTGTAAAACTCTTTTTAAAATTAATTTAACCTAATTCCTTTCGTCTCGAAACATAAGCCTACCAAAAGTAATTTTTGGAATATAAAGCATTTAAAAGAAATTTACTTCAATGTATATGGGTCAAAGAAAAGACAAGAAAACCACAGTTTATAAGAAAAAAATCTTAACACCTTGTAACTGAAAAATAAGGACATTTTTAGTAAATTGCTCTGCATTTTTTTGCCTAAAAAAAATTTATATGCATTCTGGTATTATCTTGTAACAAAAATAAGCAATTCTTCAATCGATAAATTTATTTACTGATAGGAACAGAGCACGTGTCCAGAACTTGGTAAAAATTACGTGGAAGAACACTCCCAAGCGTCTGGACACTGAAATTGAGTCTGTCGCCTTAACCGTGGCACAAGCTTATTTTTGTAGTGATTTTTTTAGTTGTAACACCTTAAGTTTATATGATACAATGTATGTAGCAGCATTAAATTGTATATTTTTATAAATACTGTAAATACTTGACTTAAAACATTCCTATTAGGATAAAGATTATTCTATAAAAAAAAGAATTCATCACCTAGCACAAATCCAATATTCTAGTTATAATAAGCTCTTGATATAACCTCAGAAACTAGTTGAATTTCTTTCATGAATAGATTTAGCTCCGAGGCGATTGTAACAAGCGAACCGAGCCATCACCACACCGTTACGTTTAATAACCCAAGTTTTTTTTCGTTAGTTGAAAGTGCCAGTTTAAACGTGAGATTTTATCAAAACGACAAGTATTTTGCAGTCAAATGTAAAGAGACTCGGTTCTATTTAGAATTAAACATCGATCTGTTACATTCGCCTCCATAGCAGTACCGTTACTCTTGTGTTTTCCATGTACTGTAACTACCATGTATTTTTTTTATTTTATAACTGGCACCTACCTAATAAAGGTTGTAAAAGTTAGTATTTTCTGTCAATTCAAATCTGTGATGTCAATAAATAAATGACTGGAACATTTTTTTATTTTTTTTTCTGATTTTTTACGCAGGCGAAGCTCGAACTATATTGAAATGTAACGTAAGCCGTTTTCCTTACCTTTTTGTTGCATTAAAATTTTAATTTTTGATCAGAAACCTATAAAACTTCGTTAACTAAGCAACTTGGATAAAAAATTATCATCTCGGCAAGTTCGGATCAGATTATCAACTATTCAATTTTTTAGCAACCTTTTGACTCTCTCTTTGGTTACTATCTAGCTCTTGTGATTTTTGTGTTCAACAGCAAACATTTTTTTGTTTCAAGAAATATTTTAACATTGAAAACAAATAAATACGAATTTTCAATAATAGCTCCTCCCTTATCACTTTATTTGCTATTTGCAGCAAATCTTATCTCTTTTTTTATGTATGTTATGTACACACAACTAAATGACTGATAAAACGCCGGATTTATCAGTGAAAGTTTATGGTGTCAACGTTACACAGCGAATTACATCCTACATCTGGGGTAAGTAAAAAGCATTTCTGTGTAGTTATATTTATGCAAGACACGTGAACTTGTATTTGTTGTTATAAAGAGACAACTCGGCTTGAACAATGTACTTAACAATTAAAGTGAACACTAGTAGATTAAGGCAAGTCGTGTCGATTTTAAGCTTCAATATGTTCAAGTAGGATTCTCGATTTCATGAGATTCATATACTACTCGCTCCAAAATTAGCACACCACAAAAATTAACTGCAGTGTAAACTTTTTTCAATTATAAATTTACTGAAATTTACATAAAACTATAAAGAGCGAAGTATACATTTTTCCTGTTGCTGTTTCCACTAGGTACCTAGGAAATGTGCCTGCAATCTGTATATCAATAATAGGCCCATTCAGTAGACTTTTTTTTTGCATATTCCAAAAGTTTACCCTTTAATTACTTAGTATGCCAAAAATCAATTTTTTGTTTCAACGAGAAATGTGTGAAATAAATTAATGAAAACAGAGCTTGGAATAACGTTGAGCATTGCTTGACGTCATAATACCGGCACGGGCGACTGGCAGAGCACTCCGCTCACGCTCTAGCTCTCATCCCATTCTTTGTTAATACATACGGTGTGTGGTTCATTTGGCAGTTTCGTTAATCATTGTTTTTATGTCTAAATGGGTCGAAACCGAGGATTGTACAAATATTGTATAGTTCCAGGCTACAAAAGTACCTCAGGATCGACTCCGAATAAAATATTTATTTCATTACCGAAAAATGAAAAGTTTGTGTGATGTTATCCACGGTTTCCCCAGCCACGGTATGCAACTCAAAATCACTTTCGTTTTTCTTTGGTTGCACGTCTAGGGGGTTGTAAAATATTATTATTTGAACATTTAGAGCACAATTTTCAACTTTATGCCGGAAAAAAATTCTACCCCATCTAAATGTTCGTGTTCACAAAAATTAGAAATGCATCGGCGAGAGGGACCTATAAGCAGTTAAGAACCACTCTCGTTTTTCTTTGGTTGCCCATCTAGGGGGTTGTAAATATTATTATTTGAACATTTAGAGCAAAATTTTAAAATTTATGCCGAAAAAAAGATTTCTAAACCATCTAAACGTAACCGTTCACAAAAATTTTGAAATACATCGGCGAGAGGGACCTATAAGCAACTCAGAACCACCCTCATTTTTTTTTGGTTACCCATCTAGGGGGTTATAAATATTATTTAAACATTTAGAGCAGAATTTTCAAATTTATGCCGAAAAAAAAATTCCACCCCATCTAAATGTTCCCGTCCACAAAAATTTCAAAATACCTGGCGAGAGGGACCTATAAGCAATTTATTTAAATAATATTTTACAACCCCCTAGATGGGCAACCAAAGAAAAACGAGGGTAGTTCTGAGTTGCTTCAAATACTAGTCAAAGTACTACTGGTACATTTGTACAAAAATGGAACGCAAAAGAAAATGTAGAAAAGCGAACCATTTACGTCATTGAAAAAAATCCAAAAATGTATTTAGGTATTCCAAGTCATTCTATGTTTATAATAAATATGTTGTGTGAAAAAGGCATTTCAACAAGATTTGATGTATATCTCTTATACAGTCTCTATTTATACACTTAAAAATATAGGTATATAATATAGGTAAGAGTATAGCAAATATCTACACATCTCTCCGACTGCTCGCGATTTGATCGCCAAGTGGCCGGTATCGTGACGTCATTACCTGTTCTCTCGCAGTGTTGACCTTTTTAAAGGTCTTACAAATTCAGAATTAAATATATCACTTATTAATCCTATTGACCTAATTTTTTAAAGATATATTTAGGTGGTTAAAGATTATCAGAAAATGAAAGAAAAAAAAAGAAAAAATTATATCACTGAATGGGCCTATTGTTTCTGTTCGTTAACTACAAATGGGAACGACGAGTAGTAGTGTAGGTAACGGGATTGAGACTGGCAACAGAAAAAATTTATATAGAGCCATTTTTTCCATCTTTTTCGAACAGTTTGATTTTTCATTCATCTTTATCTCCAGTAACAGAAAAACTAAAATTTTCATAAAAATTTCACTACAGAATAAACCTATAATTAAAAAAAAGTTCTTAAAAATCAGATTGGACGTTCGGTGAAAAAATCAATTTTGAAATTGTGTCCCATTTTTAGTGGTATCTTAATTTTGATATAAATTTTACATTTGTTGTTTTTTTAAATTATTTTACAGTTTAATGAAACAAGAACGGAATTAATTTTAGTTTACTCTCCCTTTAAAATAATTTTAAGCCACGAGACATTAATTTTAGTGCAATATCAATATTTTTTTAACGAAACATTCTTGACTTTCGACTTATTGAGAGGAGAATCCTACTAAGACAAAAGTGCACATATTAAATTCTTCAGTCCTCGACATAGAACTGTAAAAAGAATCATTACTATTTAATATAATTACCTAATAAAAATACATTATAAACATACAAAACCACATCTAAATCACAAATAATAAAACTATCCGTAATAATTGCGTTTAAAATTTCGAGTATTAGTACGGAAAAATCCTTCGTCTCCCTGATCGTTAAACACGCCTTAAATAAAAAATAAATAATTCTATACTATGTGAGCAATCAAATGTTGTCTACCGTCACACCGATCCTGAATGTCGTAGTGGGATCCTGCAGACTCATCCTTATGTTGTTCTCGAAGCGATCTTTTATCGACGAGAATTCCATTATATCCCTGGGTTTGCACTCCAACCAGAACCTGTCAAACTCGTAGAACAAATAACTGTAAAACTGGTGAAAGAGTCTTATCGACGGCAAGCTTTTGGATGTGTTGTACACGTACGTTTTTGCACTGCCGTCTTTCAGCATTTGCCAAGCCAAGCTCGTCAGATTGATGCCCACAATAGCAAAGCAGTAGCCGTATACTGGGTGGTGGGAATGTGAGAGGACGTGCTGGGCAGGTGCCTTGAATTCTGTAGCGAAGAACAGTAAATTCTCTAATCCCAGCATGCCCATGCCACGAAAGTCCGTTTTCGGATCGTCGCCTTGGAAACCGATGTCCTGCCATTGTTTTGTTATGCGGCCTAGGAATAAAATTATTAAAATCTACTATTATCCTTAACATACAAATTCTTTTGAGTACTCACCTTCCAGTTTTTCGTTAGGCATAAGATTATCCCACAAATCGTACAACTTCCTCTCATGTTCAAAGTCATCGCTGTCAAAGGCAGTCCTTCGCAGCTCCTCCACTTCAGCTATAAGCTGTCTGTACCCCCATATCTGTTCCACGCACTTACCCAAGCTTTTCACGAATTGAAAGTGCACTTTAGGGTTAACCTTTTTCACTAATAGCACCGTACTCACCGCCCCTCTCAGTATTTCTCTTTCGTTTGCTCCTGTGAAACGTCTATTGTCCGATATGTCATTCAAGTGTAGCATAAGTTGTTTGATCTGCTGCGATCTAGACAGTGACAGTGAATTTTCCACAGCCTTGATCCGAGGGGCACCACTGACTTCTCCATAGCATATTCTCTGTAGCTCACATAGGCCTGTTGTCTTCCTTAGAAACCACTTTATTATGGGGCGGAAGTAATAAGTGAATAACCACCACAACGACAAAGTCATGGTAGATCGTTATACTTTACAAATTTTATTTTTAGTTGCAGTTTTGATACAAATTATACACATATTTACAACTTGCCAAGATTTGAAGGTTAACTTTTGTTGACATTCGCATAGTACTAATCACCGTTGGCAACGGAACGCCATGCGCGATAATGCCACTAGATAAAATTTTCATTAGTTCAAATTTCCGTTGAGAATAGTTCAAATTTGTAGACATAATTTCTATGTATAAACCATTCACTTAGTGTTGTTCTAACAACATCTTGTTTATAAAGAATAATAACAACTATTATATTCAACTACCTTTATTTTGGCACCATTCTCTACATCTTTACTCTTAAACAGACTAGTGCATGAATACATTTTATTGTTCCCGAATTTTATTAATTCCCTAACACAAAATAAGTAAAATAACACAATATAAAATCTACTATTGCTAGATTGTCATGATATTACGGAAGATGTCTTTTTTAGTTTTCGATTTGAAAAAATTTCGATTCCTTGTTCTATAAGAAATAAATTCTAAAAACTTAACAAAACACGAAATGAGTATATATTTTACAAGACAATTTAAAAAATGTTATGTTACAAGTACCTGCCCAAGAAAAATAAAAATATCACAGTACAGTGCAGAAAAAAACATAATTTAATAATATACATTTTCTTGGGCAGATATGACACAAAATTTAAAAGTAATAAATGCTGTGTTGCAAAAGCCTTACCTCTATATTAACGGTAAAATACTTTTGCTATTACTGAATATGATATACTTATAAATGCAAAATTTTTGTATAATAATGTTTGCCGGAATGTTAAATTAGTAATGTAGTCTTTTAACGGAAAACATAAAATAAACCTCACCTTTTTTCTCTCAATATTTTACCTTTAGAATATTCGAAAAATCTATATGTGCCTTCTCGCTCTATAAACAATATTTTTTTAATATCTACGTTCTATGACATAACGTGCATAATATAAACATCTCAACTACTTTTAAACCTCTTAAAATTAGTAAAAAATTTATGACACTCCAACTCCTCAAAAATTTGTCTTTTGAATGAACGATTCACAAAATACTCGTATATAATTTAAAAAAATAAGCTATTGATAAAGCATCACCAATAAAAAATGCAAAACTGATGTACAAAACCGAAAAAAGCCGTTAATTAATTGAAGCAACTATAACTTTTAGGTTACCTGTGTAAAAATGTAAAAGTACATTGAGGTTATATGCAAATCAGGGAAACGATTCAAGGTTAAACTGAGGAATTTGAGGTTATGTGCAGCACAAGCCACATTAATTGAACTGTTTGAACACCCTAGAACAACTTAGAAATAAACGACAAACGCTACGCTTCTTATCGGTTCCACACGGGTACTAACTATCACACAGAATGGTGAACGTAACCGTTCATGCCGATCTCGAGACTGAGGTCGATGGCGCGCGTCACGTCCAAATTACACGGGAACTGGATCGGAAGTCGACGACAGAGCCATCTTAGAGAGTGTGGATAGACTACGCTTAGGAAAACTGCTCCCATCGCTGCTCTCGGAAAATATTTTCCGAAAACTGCAAAAAACGTAAGTAGCTAGCGGATACAAATCAGGACATTTTAGCGGTCGATATCAAATATCAGAGAAGGTAAAATATTACTTACAACTTTCTTATTCCGGATTCGGACTTTTTCCATGGAGCGTCGTCTGGTTCGTAGGGCAACGGACCTTGTACGGGGGCGTCCTCGTCCAGCGGTCTAGACACAATAATTTCAATACTTTTTTACTTTATAATATTTTGCAATAATAAAGATATTTTCTGAACAAAAAGGAAATACTTCATATAAAAAGCAAAAATTAACAAAACAACTTAAAATTATATACAGGGTTTATGAACTTGGAGATTTATTTTTTTATAAGAGGTGGGTTAAAATTTGGCATGTTATTCCCTCTCAACTCCAGCAGTTCTCCATATGTTAACACTTTATAGTTTAATATAGAAAGACAATTATCCTTAAAAATAATTTCCAAGTTTACAAACTTCCTTTATATTGTGCTAGAGCATAAAAAAGCAACCAAAAAACTTACGAAGGTGGTGATTCCACAATAGGTGGAGGTGTGGGGGGCTTATTTGAATTTAATAGATTGTCGCATGCAATTTCTATCTTATCCATTAATGGAAAAAGTTTCTTAAATCTAAAATAATAAAAGATACACTGTATTTGGATGTACTCCACATCCTTCATAAAACGTATGAGTAACGTATGTACTCACAATATTTAAGCATTAGACAAATTTCTTTAAATTTAATGAAGTTCGATGACAAAACTAGTATATTATACGATCCCGGCGATGAAAAACTCAAAATAAAGCAAAATGTTTACAAAAACTAACAAAACTTACGTTTCTGCCTTATTCTTTGGTCTGTAAGTTTCCAATTCGTCTTCCAAATCGCTAACTCTAGCTTTCAACTCATTGCGTTCGTGCAGGATATCTTTGAGTTCCTGAGTGGTGAAACGCGGCCTGTTCGGGTCGTCCAAGTCGTACACGGCCTTGTTGCTCGGTATCGGAAGGTCACACTGCAAAGAAATGTTACTCTAACGATTTAACACGACTGTGCACTTACCTTGACCAAATCCTCGTTTTCCTTCTGTGCCAGCCCTAGCCTCTGCCTCAGAGCCGATATGTCCCTCTGCTGATCCTGAAGCTGCACCAGGAAATCCGCTCTTTCGTCGCACAAGGTACGTACTTGTGCCTGCATGGATTTGTGCTTCCGTCGCAACTCTCTGCTAGAACTGGTCAGCCTTTCCACTTGAGATCTCAACTGGAAACAAATCACGTTGTGTTTCTGCGTCATTAGAATATGTTTTACCTTACATTATCGACGTCTAAATTTTTCTCCTGCAAAAGTTTCTCCTTCAGTCTAATCTCGTCCCTCTGCTTTTCCACGGAATCCTTAAGTCTCTGCAGCATATCGTTGTCAGTCGTCGGAGCAATCGGCACATAAGTGTGGTTAGGGCTCTGCTCTTTCAGTAACCTTCGGTTCTCTTCCTGTAATCTTGAAACCAGCGCCACTAGTTCTTTGGTTTCACTTCGCCACTGTTCTTCGATGGTCTCCAACTCCTAATACGATATGAAAAGAATTTTACACATGACAAATAGATCCATATATTTTATGATATAAAAATGAGATTCTAAATAGCATCAAGAATTTATTTGTAACTGGTAACACAGAGAAATGTCAGTAACTAATACATAAGACGTAAAATAGTATGAGAATATAATCATTGTGTGTTCGTATAAACTTTAGTTAATTTAAATCTAACTGCATCAGAATGTTTGCATATTTTCGACAAAGGGTCAACAACACCAGAAACAAGAAGCAAACAAAAATAGCAGAACTTCCTGGCCGAGTTCCAAGGTTGATAAACAAAGCCTTACCTTTTCGAACTTCTGCCTGTACTCTGCCTTCTCCAGCTTGTCGTTCTCGAGCTGCGATATCTTGGCTTGCATCTCATGCAGCTGGGTGTTCTCCCTCTCATTCTTGGTGGCCAAATTCTCGAGCAACTCCAGGGCGTTGATGACTTTGGGCATCAGGGACGTCACCGCATCGGCCCCGTACTGGTCTATGATTTTCTCGCATTCCTTGCCGATGTCGGAAGCTATGTCGTACACGTCCACCACCGTTACTTCGCCTACTAAGTCGCTGATGGTTTCCTCCATTTTCTCTATGTACGGGCTGTAGTTTATGCGAGGCATTAATGACTGATTGGATTTATGAGCGAAATAACGTCACCATATTATTTTTATCGATCAGGTCGGTTGTCAATTGTCACAATTGTCACACAACCACTTCAAGAACGCGATTCTCATTGGCTGGCGGAGAGGTGTGAATCCGGCCAGTCGCGAACGAGTGGAATATTGGAACTACCAGTAGTCGTACCTACACAATAAAGATCAATTTCTTATTTATATTTCTTTGCATTTAGTTTAAATTGGCTTTTTGCCAATGTGTAAATCTTTTATTATCATTACTGTACTGATCCATTAACATAAACTTTTTTCCACTAAAAATAATCACCAGATGAAACAGTCAAAAGATAGAATAGAAAAGCTGTCTTTTTCCAAAAAAGTTCCGAAAGAAAAAATGTCCATTGTAAATTTTGTTGGTGAAATATTGTCACATTCTGTATTTGTTTATAATATGGGGTGACCTGAATCAGATGGGACAACCTATTTGGGATGCAACTCCACAAAATAAAAAAAATTCCTTGAATATGAGTCGAGGAATCCAAGATACGTGTAAATTATCGAAATCTTTTTTTTTATATTTTCAAAACACCTAAAAATAAAGACAACAATGAACCAGCATCTCCTACTCAACGCCTACTGGCATGAAACAATGCTTTGTACCTACCAGCAAAAAGCGATCTACTAATTAGAGTAGTTCCTTGTTTGCCTTTTCCCCCATAACATCATCAGCAAAAAAGTTTATTTCACTTAATATGAAATTATGATCAAGCTTACATATCACGGTATAATACAATTCAGTAAAAAAATACACATTTTTATTAATGGATTTTAAGGATAAGAGAATTATGACCTTGAAAAAGTCAACCAAGTATATCAAAATGAAGTAGATTCTTCTCTGTATTGTGAATAACGTTATCGGCAACCATCCTATTACCGTATTGATTCGCACTGTATCATTAAATGTAGCGTAGCATACTAAAACAAATATACTGTGATAACAGTAACAACAAATTAGTAGGTCAGATTGTCCATTGTTAACGACGCTTTATGTCAGTAGGCATTGTAGCAGTGACATTTAAGTTGAGAATTACTTTGTAGGTTACACCTCACCCACACTCAAACATGACTGTAAATAGACATCCAAGAAGATAAAACTTTCCCTTGTCTACTTATCTACGGCAAATTGATGATTAATTATGAAAAAGAAAATTCTAGATATTGGAGGTGTAATTCAATGCTGTAAGGAGCATGTAACCTGTAGAGTAGTGTTTCCTCCAACATTCGTTAGTCAAAAACGAATTTCTTATTAGACAACTTATATGGACGGTTTTTTTTTGTACAAAAATTCAAATTTTAAGGTTTAATGTCGAATAAGTGAAAAAATGCCATAACAAAATGGCATAAAAGTTCTTGAATAATTTTTATTCGATATTCGTTAAAGTAAAACATCTGTCAAAAATGTCCTCTTTAGGAGTTGAATATAATTTAAAAATTATTTTCACTTGTAAATGAAAAATTCAATATTTTTCGATCAATTATTGAAACTTTGTTTAGTTAATGCACTTTGGAATACCCTGTATAAAATAATATATAATAGCAAATAAAAAAAAAACTGAACAAAGTATTTTTTTATTAATTTACCTCATAAAACATATATTGTAATAATGGACTAATAATACTTTAAAATACCTTGTTAGGTAGAAGAAAAATACTTGCAAAATACTTAAAATATGTAAAATAACATGTTATAAAAAATACAACTTAAAAAACTAAGGAAATATCTTTGTGAGCTCATTGAGAAAATATCCAAGTTAAAAAATTGCTTTCATGTAATGAAATGAAAAGAAATTAAACTTTAAATGTGTCTTAAAGTAGAGAGATCCTTTTTTATCTTACTTGTTGATATTTTTCAGATTGTTTTAAAACTTCCTTATAACTATAACCAAAATTAAAATAATACTTAGATTTCATCCATCACCGTTCCGAAACAGATTCAACTCAAATGCATCACCAATCCAACTCGTCCGGGATGCCGCCTGGATACTCACCCGTCAAACAAGCCGTACAATGCCCGTCTTCCTTATTTCCCGACTGAATCTCTTTCTTCACTGCCCTGACCAAACCCTGTACGCTTAAGTACTCCAAACTATCCGCCCCTGAAAAGAGAGAGACGTAATTTTTTTATTACAAAAATCGGGACGACTCGACACCTACCGACTTTCTTGGCCAGCTCGTTGGTGTCTTTGAGCTTATTAGCGATGAGTTCTTCTCTAGTCGGAATGTTGATGCCCATATAACAGGGGTATTTCAACGGAGGGCTAGCCACCCTTATGTGAACTTCCTTCGCCCCAGCCCTGCGAAGCAGTCGTATGATTGGGCCAACCGTGTTGCCTCTGACTATGGAATCGTCGATTAGAATGATCTTTTTTCCCCTCACATTCGTCACGACAGGGCCTGAAAGAAATATACAGTGTGTTTCATTTCCAATGAATACAGCCATAATCTCTTTCACAAGGAAGATAGAGAAAAAATGCATTAACTGTTGTTTAAAGGCCATCTTTGTGCAATTTTATGTACCATAATGTATAGTTTCGATCAAGCTGCGACGTTACCACAGCGAAAAAACAAAATGGCCGATAAGAATAAAGTAATGTCAATTTTGACTGTGGAGTAATATTTTCTTAATAAAATTATGAATATTGATAAGTTTTTACAAGATATGCTATATTAGTAGACTACTCGGTTTATTTTCACAATGGCGGACAATTTTCTAATTAAATGTGTAAAGACAGTATGCAGTTTTCTAAGCACTGAATCTACAAAAAGTCATGAAATTTTGAATTTAAAAGTGATTTTGGATTTGAAACATATTGTATGGGAAACATTTTCTCATAATTGTAATGCTTTACCTGCTTTACTCTTACATTTAATTAAAAAATTGACCGCTATTTTGTAAATAAACCGACTAATCTACTGATGCTGCATATCTTTTAAAAACTTATAAATATTTCATTATTTTATTAAGAAAGTATTACTCCATGGCCATCGCCGATCTTATTTTATTCTTATCGGCCATTTTGGTTTTTCGTTCTGATGACGTCATAGTTTAATTGAGACGACACACTATGGCACCAAAATGTGCACAAAAATGGCTTTTAAACAATAGCGAAAACATTTTTACCTACGACCACTACTGTAAATACTTAAAAACACACCGTCTGCGATCAATGTAAGATCCCTATTACGTACGGTAAAAAAATCGCAGTTTTCCTAGCAACTGCCTAGCAACGGTCAATACAATACTGTTTGTATTGACCGTTGCTAGGCGGTTGCTAGGAAAACTGTACGATTTTTTTACCAAGCTGTGCGATTTTTTTACCGTACGACGTAATAGAAATCTAAATAATTAACTTTTCCATTCGTGCGTAAAATGCTTTTTACAACACTTATTACGTAATATACTATTTTCATATCTTCCTTATGGAGGAAATTATGGCTCTGTGCTGAAATTTAAACAAATTAAAAAGTAGAAAAGAAATTTTCATAAACTCGTAAAAAGTGATGATTCATCAAGTGAAAACTATTTTTGTATTGGTAGTATTTTTAAGTAATCAATGAATTTGTAATTATTCTATTTTAATTATACCTGAAGATTTAATAAAACAACGAAACGCCGACAATTATATAAATTAATTTTCTTTCTATAAAACTGAAGTAAAATCCAAATTATGCTTTATTACTGCTTATGAAAGAAAACGTTTGTTCATAACTCTTTATGAAACAATATTTCAATACTCATTGAATTTTTTATCAAATACCTGCAAATAACGCTGCAAAAAATTAAATAAATATTTACTTAGTGTAAATAACGTCGTAAGGTATAACTTGTACTCAGAGGAAAGTTAAGTCACAAGCCTCTTTAGCTCAGTGGTAGAGCACTGGTCTCGTAAACCAGGGGTCGTGAGTTCAAACCTCACAGGAGGCAAACTTTTTTTTTTAAATAAAAATTGAAATAATTTAATTTTTACAAATTTCCTTCGACACTTCTTATTCCAAATTGGAATTATGAAAAAAAAAAATAATTTTTAGTTTTAAAATAAGTTTTTTTATTATACAGATATAAAAAATCTTGGAAATATATTTTTTGCTATCAATTTTCCTTTTGCTTTGAGAACATTGGCCAAGCAGACACAAGGTATTTAATTCAAAAAAATTATACAGGGTGATACGCAAATAAAAAAATTAGAAGTCGATAAATAAAAAAAAATTAAGCAAGTTTTTCCCATGGACCATGGGTCCATAGGAAAGCAACATATTTCATAGAAATTTGGTACGAGTATGTTTTTGAAGGCATTTTGTTGTTAGTTTTGAAACAGCTGCTAGAGGTCACTGGCTATATCTCCTCCGCCGGCATTTTATGACAATTTGTTTGGGGTTAGGTTTTTTAAACTATTTGCGTTATTTCCGGTAGTCATTATTGAGTCAATGTTGACCCAACAATATATTACTTTAAATAATTTTTACACGAAGATGTGTGGAGAAGATGAATACATATTTTAATAATTATTTCAGTAAAACAAACTTTAAAAAGTAAAAAAAAAATCATTCAATAAATTACAGCATTTATAAAACAAAGAAACTAAAAAATTTATTTATTTAATAACATAATATATCTACACTACTGGAAAAAATTAAAAGAACAATAATAAATCTGAAATTTTTTAGTGATATTTGACAGACTGTATCCCAGTGAAAAATGGTCATATCGAAAAAAGCTGTTTAAAGCTTCAAATCTCTAGTTTTAAGACCTTTTGAGAAAAAAAATTTTTTGAGCTCTGGTTATTGCGCAACATAGGATACCTATAGCACGAAAAACAAATTTTCCAAATTATTATATTTTTATTTTTTAGGGTCCATGGGCTCAGAAAAATCTTTTTCACTTGGACTGATGCATTGATCAGTTAGCTTGATTATGCAGTTTTAGTTTGTTTTTTTTGGTCTGCAATCAATTTTTTGTTGATATTCAGCTTTGAAAGAAAAAGAATCTAGACCAGGCGGGATCTGTTTCAAAACACCCATGTATGAATGTTTTATATAGTATCTCTAATTTTTGCTTTAATGGTTCCAAAATGATATAACAAAACATAATTTCACTATGCGCGCGCTTCAAAACTTGTGCTAAACTTATTATTAAACAAATAGTGAAAAAAATTGGAAAATATTTTTAAATTGCCAGTGTTGCGAGAAACAACTACTCCGCGGGCTATATGCCCCGACCGGCATTGAGTTACACTCGCAACACCTAGTACAACAGCTAGGATCGCTCGTCAGTCTAACCCACCAGGCACAAACCGGTTTCGGACTTATTAGTCCTCATCAGTGTGTCATAGGTGAGACAACCGACGAACAATCCAGCTGTTATAGTGTCGCAAACTCACGACAAAGAGGTACAAAGTACGCGAAGCGCAAATGGCTCCATCTGTCGTGCTGGAAAATATTCCTTTTTTTTCTCTTTTTTTCAAGACAGTTCAAAAACTATTCATTTTAGAGAAAAATTGAAAAGGAAAAAAAGATTCGTAATTAAATTTTACACAGATATACCTATTTTCAAATAAAAAATACAACATAATTATTGCAAATATGTATAGCAAAAACAACAAAAAAAAGTTAAAAAATTACAATATTTTTGCGATTTTTTTTAAAAGTACTTATATCTTCATACTTGGCCAAAAAAATCTTTTTGATATAATAAACCATCACATCAGTTTTCGTTAAAATCGGTCTGATAGTTTTCGAGTAGTAATTTTGCAATCCAGATTATTTTTTTTAAATTGAAATTTTTGCAAATGTAACTGAGCCTAAATTAAGACTTCTAGATACTTGAAAATTTTATCACATAAAAAAGAACACTCAAACTTTAAAATGCGTCCAGAAAAATTGAAATCCGTTAATTAGGAGAGCCATGGTAATTGTTTAAAAATATGCGTAATTTTTGCACTTATAAACAAATAGAGTAACTTTATAAATTCATTATAATTATTTTTTTAAATTATGCTTTTAAAGTACTGGAAAGACGCTTCTTTTAAAAAAAAAAACGTGGTGATTCGTTAATTGGTTCCAGAGTTATAGTCGATCGTAAGTTGACTGGCATTTGTGGTGTAACTACGAGGTCTGGAGGGCTGTTTTTTAAACAAATACCTTTGTCATTCCGAGTACTTTCTGGGAATTTGCAAAACTTATGCCCTTGTGCAACCCATATAAAATATCGATTGGAACTATTGGACCGAGCATAAAATTCACGAAAAATTTATGGGAGGTAGTGATGGGGGGAGTCGAGAGCTCGGCTACTCTGGCCGACTCAAAATAGAAATCGCGCGTTCAAAATAGCGGCACGTTTAAAAATTTTGATTATCTCGGCTTCTAATGGTCCGATTTTGATGTTTTTTTTTAAATCGATGTCTCACGAGCTGAAAAGTCCAAATATCGCATATTAACGTATTAATAATTACTACTTTTTAATTTGCTTTACATTTCTCGTATTTTTCTTTATTCTATTAATGAATATTACTAAAATTAATATGGTTTTTATCCGTACATTATATTCAATTTGTTGAAACAATAATTATGTAAATAAATTTAAAAAATTTTTTATTTTATCATTAACTGATATTCAATAAAAATGTATTATAATGCTTTTTTTCTAAGATAATTTTATCATCTCAGTAACTAATGATCGCACAGGAAATTTATAGGCGATTTTGAAAACTTGAATAAACTCTATAGACCTTTCATGGTTTTTAAAGAAATTTTTTTTTCTTCCTTAACATTAATTTGAAAAAAGTGAAAAAAAAATTACTTTTTATGTTCTTTTAGAAAATCTACAGCTAATTTTACAAATATTGACGAAAAGCCTAATATTGACAGAAATTTTTACAGCTCAATGTGGCCACAATAACAATGTAAGTTGACAAGTTGATCTATCGAGTAATTTTTCTGTTCCAAATGATCAAAATTTTGGAAAGAAAGGAACAGGTTTATTCCTGCTGATCATTACATAATCATAATTAAAATAAAAAACAAGAATTTTTCTCGACTTTTCCCACAATTTTTCATTAGATATTGTTGGTAAGTTGGCAGTGCCAATAATGGCCAATAGTAGTGATTAGTCATGTAATAACAAATCTACAACAAACTGGAACAATCATAACTAAAAGCTAAAGCAAATTTTTAAGTAAAAATTAATAAATAAATAACATCGATTGTGTAGTTGTCTCTATGTTGCTAAAAAATGGTTTAACGGGCAATTTCCAGAAAGTATGTCATCTAACATTTTTTTTATTTTAAACAATTCTACAATCAAAATTTTTTCGTACTTACTAAATTTTAGTGCTACGTTCAACTGCCTCAGCCTATTACTGGGTTGAATAAAAGTACGCCCCACATAAGTATTCTTAGTAAGAAGTTCTCCCAATGGAATCTGAGACTGAATAACAAAAGTTAGTACCCTTAGACCTTCAACACTTAAGCTCTTTTTACCTCTTTAGAATACCCGTATGCAGCGGCATTGCCAGACTCGGGCACGGAACCAACTATATCGGCCTCTACGGGGTGCTCCAACGCCAGTTGCCTACCACAATGCACCCTAACAGTGTACACCTCCTGCCCCTCAAAGACACTGTTGGGTCTGGCGAAATAAACATACTCAAAGATGCAAAACGCTAGAGCTTTACCTTCCGGAGGCGGGACGATGTCAACCGTTCGTACCCCGTTCCGTGTCATTTCCAAGATTTCGCCCGGCATGATTTCCCTGACATACCTCGTGGCCTAAAACAAGTTTTAGTTAACCAAAATATCTTTAAACCGAGTTATAAATGGTTTACCGTTACAAAAGCGCACGATTCCGAGGACACCACCCAACCTTCAGGCTCATATTCTTCGTCGGAATAACCGTTCATGTCTATCAAACAAAAAATTAAATAAAATTCCAATCGATTTACAACTACCTTTGCTTACGTTCCGGTGACGAAGCCACGATCTTTCCCAAGCACAAGGGCCGGTTACCGTAGGTATCTCTGACGGCATAAATACGATCTTTAAGCATGACGCACAGAGAATAACTCAGAGGCGTCAGCTGCATCAAGTGGCGGATTCTAGCCGGCCAATCGGGACCGTTAACTTCACCTTCCGGCGGGATAAGGCACAACGCTTGGGTGATCAGTTCACTGTCGGAGTGTGTCGACAGACCCACGCCTCTATCTAAAACCTAAGATAACAGCAATTAAGGTAAACTTAAATTAGTGCAAGTTACTTGTTTTCGAAGAGTTGATGCATTAACAAGTTCTCCGTTATGTGCGACGGCTAGAGCCCCGTGCATGGAATGGACCACGAACGGTTGGCAGTTGACTTGTTCGGATCTGGCGCTAGTCGAGTACCTCGTATGGCCGATTCCGAGGTATCCTCTTAGCTTGCTAATGTTGTCGTTATTGAAGACGTGTTTGACGAGGCCCATGCCTTTGTGGATGTGATAATCGTTGCTGCCATCGCTGGTGACGATGCCAGTAGATTCTTGACCACTACATAAAAAAAACGTTACAGCTAAAAATGTATACATATGTGCATGCAATACTGACCGATGTTGTAAGGCTTCTAATCCAATGCAGACAATTTGAGCTATTTCAGAGTTGATAGGCCAGCCTTTATTGCCGATCGCTCCAAAAACTCCACATTCGTGTGTTAAGCCAGTTTGGGCTTTTCCTCTATTCAGTCTCCTATTCTTCCAAACATTCGAATCTGTTTCTTGAGAAGCCATTTCGTTGAAATAGGAATTTATTTATACTACTAATGTAATACTGATGCTGATATTCTATTAGGTTGTGAAAATTATTTAACGTTTCTCAATCAGTAATAAAAAAAACATGCTGAAAAAGCTATATTCTAGCTACACGTGACATTTTAAGGTTAGTTTTGTTGCTTTTTGTTTCTGTCAGATATTTGTTTCTCTGTCTAACATAGTCGCATCTAGAGATAACATAATAGGGTTTAGGAAATTTAACAATTCAAAAAAAATCTCATCAGCAAATTCTTAGAAACGCTGATGGTAACTGTTGTACGTTCAAATACAATATTAAGATAGTGTCCTCTCTCTCTGTAAAATCATAAGAGAATGACAAAGATAAAGATAGTAATCTGATCTGAACAACCTAATAAGCGATATTCACAAGGATGTTTATAATACATGTATTATTCTTTGCCCGAAGTGTATTATAAATAACATAAATATCCTTGCGATATTCGTATGAATTACTAATAGCAGTGACTATAATAAGAATCACTGCTAATCTAATAGGCACTTTTTATAGTCACTGCAGTATCATTTATCTAGGGTCACTGCTAATAGGTATATGCATATTATGATGAGTAACTAAATAAGACAGCAGCGGCAGAGTACCGCCATCTGCATCTGGTGCAGCAAACGACACACTCGTAAACCACAGACCATAAAGTAATTAAGGAAACTGCATTGGAAAACACAATTAGAGTAACCATTAATTCTACTATCTAATAGATGTTGCTGCACCATAATGGCGGTAAATTTAAATGTAACAAAATACACAAAGAATAAAAAGTGTTTCATAAGAAATAGATCACAAACCATCTATTAATAGTTTAAGTTAATCATTAAAATTAACGTGAACCATTAACAGCAGTTCCATGACCCATTACTTATGAAACACTTTAATTATCACTTGGTTAAATGAAAAAGTTAAAGCAGTGATACTTAAATATGCGACAAATATACAGTCATTTTGTTATGAATTCGAAAATATTTAAGTATCAAAAAAATGTATAGACTTATTGTAATTATAATTTTTTAAAGAAACCATTGAAAACTGCAAATTTCAAAGAGTTTGAAAGAATTATTTACCTGCCTTTATGTAAAATGCATTGCACAGTGACTTGACAAAAATTATGGTTAGATATATTTGTTTCTAAGTAATTGATTTTCCTCAGTATGATGTAATATACCTACTACACTTATAGCACTTATAGCAAATAACAATTTTAAACATATGTATTTCGGTTCTTTAAAAGGTGGAGGTGAAAAATCATCCTAAATTGAAGTTCGACAGCTCGTACTATGAAAATTCTGTAATGTTATGTTAACAAATTGTTTTGCTGAATGTTGGATACTATCCGAGGATTCCGTGGTGATATTATCACAATAATTATAATAGGTGAACTTGTAGTTGATCCTTTAAATAATGTTGGCACAGCACTTCCTATTACTGTTTTTTAAACATTTTTTACTCAAAATGGTCTTCACAAAAATAATGATCTGTTTGTCGGATTAAATTCTGATTTACATATTTTTCGAACTGATTCTATCCACAGTAATTGTCTGTCTTTTGTAATACTGAAAAAGCTTTTATTTCTATAGAACGTATTACAGATATTCATATATGTAGTAAGAAATTCTTTTGTAATTTGGAGCACAACATTGACGTTTATTTCTACCAGGTACTCATTTTGCATAAAAAAATGAATAAAAAACAGTAAGGCAGTTCAGACGATTGATTCAATAAATCCCTTATTATATTAATCTAAAACAAAACAAATCGCGGCAACCTACCTGAAGTCCTGAAGATAAACTACAACCTCAAATATCAAACATTCTACGTAGATTGAAATATTTCAGTCAACGCATTCTATTTCTGTTGATTGAAAGATTGGAAATATAGATTCGATCTGTGGTTGCAGATTTCTATTTAACAATTTCTATTAAGGACAATGTTTTCCTACACCAACGTGAGATGGCCTCAATGCATATAAAACCTCTTATTTATTTACTCTATGTATATTGTCAAGAGTTTTATTCATCATTATTCATTTATGCTATGGATTATGTAGAGCCAATCATGAGTTACGATTGTTTAAACAGTCCAATAATATTACATATCGATGGTGTAGCGCACAAATGTTTTAAGTGAAAAAATGTAAATTTTTCAAGAGGAAAGAAATAAACTTCTAAATGTTATAGTAATATAGCACAATGCCGAATTGTGATTATGTTTGCTAGGTAGGGTTTGTTGGTTTAATATTTATTGCAGGTCACATAGCACATACTCAAATAATTTTTTCAATAAGAAAAAAATATATATTTTTTTTTTTTATAAATATACAGCACTTAGCACATTTGTGGTTCTCCAGTAATGCTTTACTCACTGAACAAAATAATTAACAATTAACTTTTTAAACTAGATTTTATTGTAGAAAACAACCAGATTTTATCAAATTAAAAGAAATACAGTTACTGTAATCAAAAGTTATACAAAAAGAAAGTAAAAAATTAGCATTAATCATCTAATTTTGCTGCATCAAGCTGAGTTCCATTGTCCACTTCAGGAATTTCCTTAATAAAGTTGGTATAATCCTCGGGAATGATTTTGTTCGACAACAAATACTTAAAGATCTTTTTTTTTTCTTCTGAGAAACCGGTATTCTGGAGTCATACTTTTGATTTAAGGGGGCGATTTAGTATGTATATTTTTACCATGTAACAGAGCTTCAGATGAGGACACAAATCATCGAAGAAACTAACATAATTGAATATTATTATATATCAATGTATTCGCAATGGTTCCCGCTAGTGAGTGAAATAAATTTCAATGCTCATGAGAACAGAAGAATAATTTAAATAAATGCCAAAGTACCTCAATTTTAACCATACTGTTAGTCTGCCAATATATTGGATTTACGACGGAACTAGGTCAGGCACAATAACCAAACTACTTCACTCACTAGAACGGACACTTAGGATCATTTGTATTTAATTTTCAGATTAATATTTATTAACAATTCTATAATTTGTGTCCTCAAGTAAGATGACAACATTTTACACACGACTCCATGTTATATTATATTATATTATATATTTAAACCAGAATTTTAGCGGTTTCTATCTTCTACAAGAATTTCTAAATAAAATTAGTTTGTGTACTCTGTCACAGGTGTCGCTACCCTTGAAAATGAAAGCGAAAACACAGAGTTGGTTTATTGTAAATTGTATTGGCCGAGAAATAGTGAAATTTCTGGCGTTTTTAGGTACTGAAATCTTTAAAAGTAAAACGTGTAGAACAAAAGTAGGGGTAAGCACAAAAATAAAATCCTTGATGTTTTGTTTATTCATGGTTACCGTTTAAATTTACCCAAATAAAATAATAACTAAAAAAAAGCGTTTGCAAAACATGCGTTTGCTATTATCCTAACCCCACATTTTAACAATTATTTTCACGTACTTATAAAAAGTAAACAATTTTATATGTAGGACTAAGCAAGTAAATGTTATAAGAATATTTACATGTGGAATTATATATAAAAAAGATAGTATTTTCGTAGATTTCAGTACCTAAAACCTTAATGGTTTGATCGTTTTTTGCACCTGTTTATTCGTTTTACTGCGGCCGGCGTCTTTGAAAATACTCAGGTGGCATGACATAACATTCCTATTATTTGATAAGCTTTAGATTATTCAGTTATTAAATGTTTGAAATTATTTGTCTTTGCGGAAAACACTATTTACAGAATATGGGACCCATAATGGTCTGATATTATCTTTGATATATAAATATGGGTAATATTTTAAAAGTAGGTAGGTACCTAAGTAATAAGATTTTGTAAAGCTTAAGTAGTACGAAAATATAACGCATAAAAAACCAATAATATGTACTAATTTTTCTTTATTAAGAATAAAGATTAAATTTTACGTACAGGGTGTCCCACATAAAATCGTTATTTATATTGTAGCCTTGGTAGTTTCAAAATAAATTTACAGCTTAAAAATTGGTCTGGCTCAGGTAGATTTCTGTTTCAATCTACAAATCAGTAGCTACTTACCGATAAGAAGGAAACCACTAGTCTAGTCGAGAAGTGAGTTTTTTTTGCGAAAAATAGTTATTGTAATCCTAAAAATATGGTTGTTAGTACATTGGATTCGGAATTATATTCAGAGAAAGAAGTATTTTTAAATTTATCCGCAATTAAAAATAGCAATTGTTATAAACAAAAAACGAAGAGAAAAAAGGGAGTCTCCGTTTTTTAACTATAACTAAAAAAATATTGAAGATAGCTGAAATTTCAAAAAAGATCCTGAAAGAGGAGAAAATTTCAGCAAAATAAGTCAGGAATTGTAGCTCCATTATTTATAATTTTAATTTGACGTTGAAAATATAGCTCCGCGCGGCGGCGGCGGTTTCCGCGTCGTCGCGTCGCCGCCAAGCAAAGTGTGCAACACAAAATAATTTTTTTATAGTATTCAATATTAATTTAAAAATCTAAATAAATTATAGTGTCATCTAGACACTTGAAGGAACACAGCCCAGTTGGAAAATAATTTTTAACTTGACTTATGTTAAAGTTATTCAATTGTTAATGAACTAATTTTTCGTGGTCCTAATCTTTCATAAAACTTGTTGTAAAACTTTAAATAATGTATCTAAAATTTTTTTTCTTTCTGGGAGGTCTTTTTATATACATAATAAACAAGATTCCGTTGTAAAAGTTTATAAAAGTTTTTTCATTTGTTTATAATGATTTTTTAAAATTAACAAAAAATGAAAAATCCGGGAAATGTTATAAATTTTTTTTTTACCAAATGTTTGATTTTAGTTGTTTTTCTATTAATATATTGCGTTTATTAGCTTAGCTAAAAACTTTTTAACGTTATTTGTTTATAAATTTGTTATAAACAAATGGACAAGTTTAATATTTTTGAAACATTTTTTTTGCCATTTTATTGTCTTGGTAATCTGTTTTTTAAAAACAAAAATTTTTCTTAAATAAATTTTTTAATTGTTTATAATCGTAATTTCCCTGGGAACACGATGGTGCAATTATTTTTTTGCTACTTGCCGTAGTTTACGAGATATTTGCGAAAAACCTTATTTTTTACGGGTTTTTTGACCTTTTGACCCCTTGCCTGATCACCTAGGTCAAAAATTTTTGCGGATTCGGATTCCTGAGGGTCGAAAACATATTTGCGCCCAGGTTTGATCGACAGAGGAAAAAATGGAGGTTCAGCCTTCATTTCAATGGACTAAATACATACAGTAATATTATATATATATTTTATGCCTATACATATTATTCTCCAAACGCAATTAGTAGCAAGATTCTATATATTTTAGTAATTAAGCAGTGTTTTTAAGTTAAAACGACTCGTCAAAGTAAAAAAATATTTCAGGTTAGGTATATATTTTTTTTACTGAAAATAGCAGTTAATTTACATTATCGGATTGTTAATGTGAAAATATAAACATTAGACTGTTGACTATTCCATGTTATACGTGTTTTAAGGTCACTTTTGAAGAAGAAACTACATGTAATTTTAAAAACCGTATTTCTGTTTTTATAATGAAGGAATAGTAATTATAAGATTGTTTAAGCTTATTAACTAAAAATTATTGCCTACTCAATAAAAAAATATTATTGTCCTCGATAATCTATTACTGATTAATAAAATATTTACTCTCTTTCCTTATGAGATTGTATGCACACAAATTGGAGCCGTTCCTGAAAAATCGGGCGAATGTGGCTGCAGTTTAAATTATTAGACTTGAAGCGTTGGCCGCTAGAACAGCACCTGCCGGGGTCCCGTTTCGTGACACGCTGGGCGATATTTTTTGTACAAAATCCCGTCCTTAATGTTACTGTTTCCCAGCTTTTCTTTTTTCCTGGTTTACGTTTGTCAGACACATCGATTTCATGAAATGCTTCATCAGAGAGGTTGTATTTATACTGTATAATAAATGGTTTTTCCTTCTGATATCGCATCCACTTTATATTGAGCCAGGTAACTTTTTCTTTTTGAATATTGTGGGTTGTATTGACAACAATATCAGTCACTAGTTGTTGCAAGTTGAAAAAATCATTGACGAAATAAGGACGAGGTTTAATTCTAGCCATTGATATCAAAAGTCCCCATTCACGGGTAGAATATACTTTTTTATGTCTTTTAGCCCTTTCTATAGTAGCGTGCATGGAATCGGCTTCCAGGTATGAGTGACCCGATTCCATGAACTTCATGTCTATAGTTTTTAGGTGTTTTATTTTATTAACGGCAAAAAGCATCGCTGCTGCGACGAATTTATTGCGGTTTTGTCCGCTACATGTATCAGAAAATGATGCGACATGTGTAACAGTTTCTGGTAAACTCGCCAGATATATGATGAGACAAGTTCCTACTTCTGTGCTACCTATCTAGATATATCTATAACTCATTTTGCTCGAAAAGTGTACTTAACACATTTGTGCACTACACCATCGATATATTACAAATAATACATAGAGGGCAATGATCAAAGCTGATCGTAAATAAATAGCGTGCTGGAGATTTTGTATTACAGATAGTCAAAATACACTATATACTGACGTTTACACAAAAATGTTTTACGTTTTTAGTCTTTTAAAATCCAGGGGTCTTCGCAGTTCATACCTAGTTCTGCAAATTATGTATTTACTTACCATTGTGATTTATTACTTTTATTACCCTTTTCTGTGTAAATTGTCCCTCTTTGTGGTACGTGTTTTTAAGTCCGACCGCGCTGCCTTTTGGCCGCGAAGGACGTAAGCTAAGCTAATGTAAAACGGGCAATGTCAGAATGTCAGGAATACGGATAATGGATCCTCTGATAGTTGTATCTCTTTTCTCTATTAATTATTTTTAGACTTCACAAGTTGCACTAGAATTTGAAAAATAACCTCTAATATTGTATTTTCAACAATAATATAATTTTATAAAATTTAAACTTTACCTGATTTGATTTAAGCATATTACGACCCATCTATTTACATGCGATTCATTAACTTCAGTTAATCTCACTTCACTAGTTGACTAATCAGCATGAAGAATTGCAGAATAAAATTAACAGGAGAACAACTAAAAAAACTATACAAATATTTGCTATTTTGAAATTAGACATTTGTGCAGTTTTATTTAATAAGATTAAAAATAATGCATTTAGGGGCTTTGTGGTTTTAATTTAATGGAGTTATACGCAATCGTTTTGAAAGATTTATTGTATCCAAGACATGATAAAATTATTTTTTTAATTTAACAGTTTGGAGCGGAAATGGATCGCAACATAGGCAATGGCGACTGAAAAACCCACTGCTAAAAATTCACAAGATATCCAGGGTCCAGCGTAGATGCCCGGATGGTTTATTACTATTTTAGTAAATGTCGGAACTGTGGTAATGTCTTCTCCAGTTCTAAGAATTTTTTTTGCAGCGACGTAGCCGCTTTCATTAAAAATTGGTACCACTATATCACCTGTCCTTGCAATTTTTACATCTTCCGTCCAACTTATTTGATATTTTCCAGCTCCTACCGAAGCCACTGGTGTAATAACGTCCCCCAATAAGGCATACAGGTTGCCTGGATCGCCTTTTTTGCATTTTACTTGAAAATTCGATATATAAGCTATATGTTTTAACACGGTCGCGTCTTGTGTGGTATAAGACGTCGAGACTATTTGAGCATTCTGACACTGTTGGGCATACACAGTCAATAGGAACGAAAAACTAATTGAAATTAACAGGTACACGTTCATAATTGCTTGTTTTTATTTACAACAGGCGATCAATACAAAATTTAGCCTTCTAGGTTGTTTTATCTACTAGTAGTTCATTAGGTACGTAGTTCAAATAACTGAACCTTGAGTGTTAGTGTCAAAAAATAAGGTAGAAGAGGTTATAAAAAGTACTGGGAATATGTCCATAAATCAGTATAAAATTATTAAAAATGTTACTGCGGATGATGACAGGCTTTGCAAATTATATATCCACTTTATTTAAAAATGTAAAATTCGAGGCTATTTCCAAATTGTGTACTTAAAATGGTTGTGATATTTCGACTTAAGAGAAGATTTTTTTTCTACAATTCTCTTGTTGCATTGAGTATTGTTGTGATATTGTTATTTGTATATTCCGGATTTTTTGAGGTAAATTACTACTAGTCTCTTATAACTCGAATAATGTCCGTTCTCTGTAGATTTCATTCTATATAATAAACAAGTCTAACTTTCACTGCCCTTCAGAAGAACCAATAGATATCGTCTATACTTGGGTAAATGGTTCTGACCCTGAGTTTATAAAAAATTTGAACAAGTTCGTAAATGGGAAAAATGAAAGCTTTGATATATCGAAACAGCGGTTTGACGATAAATACGAATTGAAATTTTCTTTAAGGTATTTATACATCTGCGTGTGATCGAGTAGATGATGATGTTATTTTTTAGGTCTTTAGAAAAATACGCGCCCTGGGTGAACCATGTTTATATAGTAACTAACGGTCAAATACCATACTGGTTGAATCTGGATTATGAGAAAGTAACCGTAATTACGCACGATGAAATATTTAGGAAAAAAATCGGTTTACCTACGTTTTCTAGTCCTGCTATTGAAAGTAACTTGCACAGGTATTCAACTGAAACTAAAAGAATTTTATTAAAATTATAATTGTTATTTTATGTCGCTATGATTTTAGAATTCCAGGTTTGTCCAAGAAATTCATTTATTTCAACGATGATATATTTTTGGGCCAGCCCACTTATGCCGAGGACTTTTTCTCGCCGAATAAAGGTTTCCTCATATATTTGGCATGGCCCGTACCCCAGTGTTCACCGAATTGTCCATGGATGTACGTAGCTGATGGCCAATGTGACAAAGACTGTTTTCGACCCGAATGCCAAATGGACGGAGGTGATTGTGAAAATTCAGAGGATAAGGTATTGAGATGGCAATATTTTGTTATTTAATTATGTATTTAATGCTTTTTAGACAACGTTGGAAGTAACGACCGAGGAACTTGATAACATCATCGAAGATTACGACGCAAAGGACCGAGTTCTGGCGGACACCGTACAAAGAGTTAGGGCGAATTTCTACAGGTCTTTTATGAAGAAGTTAATGCCTTTCAGGGTTACAGCTAAGAACTTAAAGCAAGCCGCTTCGGAAATTACATCACCTAACAGTAAGAGAAGTAACTATTTATTGAACGTTTTTAGTCTGAACGATATGAGGAACCTGTCGAATTTTGTGAATCAACACAACAAGTTGACAATAAAGAACGATAAGATGAGGAGGAAGAGACGGAGGCGCAGAAGTTTTTATAAAATAGGCAATGGGACTCTTCTAGAAAAACTGCTGCCAAAGATCAACATCGACGCTTATAGCGCTTCTTTGCAGCACACAAACAGGCTGCTCAATAGAAAATATGGGTTTAAAAGCCGCCGGGTTCCTTCTCACGCTCCTATCCTAATCGACAGGGACATAATGGAAGAATTACGTTCAACTTTCGAGAGGGAGTTTGCCGTTACAGAAAGAAACAGAGTACGAAGAGGAGATGACATTCAGTTCTCCTTCAGTTATTACTACTTCCTCATATCCGAAACCGTAAAACGGGGTATCGAGGATATTTTCGATGAATTTGACACGGATTGCTCAAGGTACGAACATGTCACAATCGAATACCGTTCTCATAACGATTGTTTTTAGTACTTGGTCAGACCGTGAGATCAGAACGTTGCTAACACAACTGTACGAGTTGCCCTTGAGCTATGCCACCGTGGATCATTTTGAATCATCGTTACTCAACTGTACAGAAAACGGTAACTTTCCAGAAGGCGTAACGCCGCCTTACGAACGATACGTCGACTCTAAACTGGTACAATGTATTTTATCATGCTACTTAACCCTATAACTCTCATTTTTGTTTGCAGCCTACGATAGCAAAAAATCTAGTCATACATTGCCCTTCACTTGTCAGTATTCTAAAGCAACGGTTTGGTACGACACCGAAATATGCTTACGAAATCGTTCCCAATGCCGAGAGTAAGTACGTCACATTCAAAATGCTCAATTCCAACATCAGCGATGTCATTGGTAATCTGGACGACATACGAAACGACAGGAGGTGAGTAAAAGATGTAAAGTGACAGTTGGCACTGTCATATATACTTTTTTTTTTTGTAGGAAGTTCATTTGTTTGAACGATAATCTAGACGAGGCCAAAGCTAGCGAAAACGAGTTAGTCAGAGCTATACTGTACGATTTCTACGTGTCTTTCTTTCCACATCCCAGCAAGTTCGAATTGCCCGAGGAATATCGAAATAAATTCGGTTACATACAGGAGCTAAATCAGTGGAAAGGATACCACTTCAAGATAAAATTGTTTGTGTATTGTTTGGTGTTGTCCTTGTTGTGTTTTACATTTTATAGTATATGTAAGAAGAAGTGTTGCCAAATCGTCAATAAACTATTTTTTTGTTGAAACATCTTTTATTCGTGAATATAGACATTAAATTTCATTAAATAAAAGCCTTGGTGGTCTCACTATTTCTTTGTTCCATGGTTCATGTAAAATTACAAAAAAAATTAAAAATAACGGTTCTGTAAAAACCCTAAGAAAATTATCTGTTGTGTCCTCTATTGACAGCTTAGTGAATTGGAACGTTCAAGAAACTGTTGATAGATGGCGCTCCATCTGCAAGAACGGTACACTGTAAAGGACGGTAATTAAAAATTATAATTACAGTATTGATACAAACAAATATTATGTAGAGGAAATTAAAAAGAGAGGAGCTACAACACAGAAAAAAATGTCCTACAACCGAAAAATTACATATGTATCGTAATTTGGTTGCAGTTTGCCCATAAAGAAAATAGTTTTCCTGTTGTGAGCGTTGACTGAAATTTTAATCAACATTTCAAAGAAAAAGAGGTAACTTCTTGTCCTCCTAAAAAAGTTATCTATATTTTTCCTAAATGTTGTCAATAAACTTTCACTACGTAACGATAGATGACGCAGACCATATTAGAATGAAATTAAGTAGGCGGAGTCAATATAAATAATAATCAGAAATTTTCTGCAAGATATGCAGTAGAGAGGAATATATTATGCTATACTATTTCAAGGGACTAACAAAAACGTTTTCTTTGGGCAAACAAAGCCGCAACTGTGTATTTCAGTTTTTATCAATAAAATGCAAAAATAAAAAGCATATTTCCACTAGATAGAGCGCATGCCCGTTATTTTGCGAAATTTTTAATAATTTCAGCCGCTCCGGCACTTTATTGGGATAGTTTTGCGTTGAATAGCAACTTTTTAATATATTTTATTATAAAAAAATATCCGTTAGCCTCACATTTGGCGCTAAAATTCGAATTAGCATCGTGTTATTAAGTGTTGGGCGTGTTTAAAGGTTGGCGATCAAAGAAGTACGTCACGCGAGATTTGTGATGGTCTATAAACGTCAGACCGAGAGATGGATGGCGACGTCTGTCGGTGCTTAAAAATTAAAGGCGTAGCCATTTTGATTTTGACGAATATTGACATACGTCTTGTCGTCTAGACAGAAACTCATTTGTTACTGTAAGAGTGACATGTAAACACTTGAAAATTTGCTGAAAAATACGGAAGTCACATGTTTTTCTAATCGGAAACGTTTGTGGCGGCGTCGCGCTGTTTTCGAACAAATTTCGGGGGTGTTATCCAGTTAATTTTATTTGGTGGTGGTTTTTTCTTCGTGTGGTCGAGTTAACCTTGCCCGGTTCATTCAAATGTTCGCCGTAAAGTGAGCTGGGGAGGCCTGCTTGATGGATTTTAAGGTTTTTTGAAAATATGTAAGTTTACAGCACCTTTTATTTGAAAAATGTAAAAAAATACCGCGCCGTTTCCCATTTACCAACATTCCTTGCTGCCCCGGTTAGCTTCTAGACAATAATAAGTGTTAAATGATTTGCCCTTCGTTTATTTTTTATTTCATTTAGCACTTTAACCTGCTGCATTGCTAGGTTATGTTGTTTAATGTAAACACCAGTTAACACAAAGGTGTTGAATGGGTGTTTTTACACTGCCTTATTAATTTCCTCCGTTTACTAATTGGTGATAAACATACCCATTAGGTTTGTAACGGCGTAACGCATATAATAATTAATAGATTCAATAACTAATTAGTAAGCACTTCGCTCGGAGTATTTTCGATATGGATGGGCGTTATGCGATATTATTGCATGACTTACACTATAATAAAGTTTTATTTGTAGTTCCATTGCAGTTATAGCCTACTATTGGAGATACGTGAGGGGTTTTTCGTTGCAAATAAATTCCACAGGTAACTATTTATTTTAAAAGTGCTCTAGCTATATTATATTCGATACGGTCCTGTCTAGTTTTTTTTGTAAGAAAATTTAGCAGATGTCAAATATTATAATTCATTATAAAATATAATATTTTATTCTAACATTAAATGCAAATAAAAATATTTGAATTTGCATACAGGGCGTAGTTTAGATAGAGGCCTTTTAAAAATTAGCGCACAGCTTTATTTGCACTATTTTTGTTTTGGCTTTATCTAACTAATAACAATCATTTAGTTATACATATTTACCATATTTGAAAAACAAATTTGATGTCTTCGAAAGGTACTTACCTAATTCCAACAGCAAATTTGCTTTATATTTATTTCCATTCTAAATTTGGAAATCATTTTTTCCTCTTTTTTTTTTCGTTACTTCGTTCTGCGCAATAGTATACAGGATGTCGCGTTTATACTTCCAAAAAACTGGGGAGGTGAGTTCCTTTTGGAAATTTGAAATTGTTACTTTGAAGTGGGTTTTTCTTGATTACTTATCTTTAAATTGGCTAAAGATAAAAATGTCAAAATTTTAACAATAATAAATAATATCAACTGTGTCTTAAGAAAAACGCGCAAATCATTTTAGTCCTGATAGCAGTGGCGTGGATATGGGTAGATTGAGGGATATAATTGAAGGAAAAATATGTTACAAGTCGAAATTTTTTAAAAACAACCTAAAGGCTCTATAAAGCGTAAAAGATTATACAAAAAAAGGTAAACTATAACCCTCTTAACCCGGTTATGTTGCTTAAAGTAGCCTCATGTTTTGAAATGCTGTTTTTATATTGTTTACTTATAACAGAAATGGACCGAGAAATTGAAGCGGCATAGACAAAGACGGATTGTCGGGGATTAAATTTTAACTACCTGCTACAATTTAGTACAGTCCGATCGTACAAAGTTTTTTTAAAAGTACACCTCATCCTATACCGATAATACACAATATAAAAATATTGAATATAAGCACCAGTACTACATTTATTTACGATTTGCATACATAATAAGCTTTTATTACTCTTTCATTTCTAAACAGACTATAGTTGAAAATCGATAAGATGAACATTTTTCGAGAAAAAAGAAGGTGAAGCTCGTTGCTCACATAAAGGGGCAGAAGTAATTTTAAAATATTAACATGAAAATTGTGTTATATCAAAACTAGGTAGGTATTTTAGTAATTTTTGGCATTATGTCGTATAATCAGTATAGTCCGACATGCATTTGGTATATCAACTGAAAAGTTTCCATATCGACAAGTTCGTCACCCCAGTAGTTTTGTTGTAATTGCCTGAAGGTTTAAAAAAAAGGTTTTTTTTTTTGGCTCATAATGGAGAATATGCTCCTCCGCGGTTAGTAAGAACCTCGGTAAGAACTGTGGATGTGGAAGAAGCAGTTTTAATACTATTGAAGATAATCTACATGCAAGTGTAAGAAAAAATCCTGCTGAATTCAATGTTTTAAAGTCTGCAGTCCACACAACATGAAGAGAACAGCAATTACAGCCCTATCATCTAACTCTTAGTTCACGAAATTTTGACCCAGGATAACAGTGCTAGACTAGATTTTTGTAACTGGTTCAGAAATAAAGAAAACGACGACGAGTTGTGTTTTACAAAATAAAAATATAGAGTACTTATATAAATTTGCGCACCAGTCACGATGATCCAAAGATAACAATTGCGTTAATATTCTCAACATCGATTTGCTATTAATGTATGGACTGGAATTATCGGTGATCATTTATTAGGGCCTGTTGAGCTACCGCCACGTTCAGTATTTAAATTTCTTAGAAACTACTTTGCCAAATCTGCTAGAAGATGTGCTCCTGAATATTAGAAGACACCGATGTGTTATGCATGATGGTGCACTATCCATTACACTCAAACTGTGCCGCAGTTCTTTAAGAACCGGTTTGCTGGGCGGTAGATTGGACACGGGCAAAATGCAGCTGTAAATTGGCCTGCCTACTCACCCGACCTGTATCTTTTAGATTTTTTTTTTCGGGTATTCATAAAAGGCAACATTTAAATAATTTCAGCCGCTCCGGCACTTTATTGGGATAGTTTTGCGTTGAATAGCAACTTTTTAATATATTTTATTATAAAAAAATATCCGTTAGCCTCACATTTGGCGCTAATTCGGGTATTCATAAAAGGCAACATTTATGCTACATCGGTATAAATTCGCCAGGAACTATGGGCACGAATCTCATTCGACAAGATATTGGAGTTTTGCGAGGAGTTTTGTTTAGGGCTAGGCAACCATTTCTTTGACACATAACTTTATGCATAGAAGACAATGGCGGGCAATTTCAACATTTTATTTATTTAAGTACATCATATTTTTGCTTTTTTGAATTTGATTAATATTCATATTAAACGTTTTTTATTATTACATCTTTGTTATTGTTAAACAAATATTGAAACTTAAAATGTAAGTAATTTTCGTATTTTTAATTTGCTTTAAATAAATAAAATTATTTACAATTTAATTTTTTGATATATTGTTACAATTTATGTTTTCAAATTAACTATAATGTAACCATAATAGCATACTTTTTCAAGTTAATATTTTTAAATTGTCGATTTTCAACTTTTTGTACTATCCTCTGGGTAAAGCCCTTAGGATGTTTAAGAAATTTTAACTTTTAACATATTTCTTCTTCGATTATATCCCTCAAACCACCGTATCCACGCCACTGCTATTCGAAATATGTAATACAATTTGCATGTTTTTCTTAAGGCACAGCTAATTCGTGTGCAGATTTTGAAATTTTTATCTTTAGCCGATTTAAAAATATTAAGAAAAATCCTTTTCAAAGTAATAATTTCAACACCCTGTATCTCGAAAACGGAACATTAATGAAAAAAACCTTACACAAATTACCTCTGCTATTTTTCCTAGAAGAACTCGCCCCCCTCAATTTTTTTACGGGACACCTTGTATATGAACAACTAAATTTCGTCCCTGCGCCAATTTTGCTATTTCGCAGACATGAACCACCCTTTCCTCTTCACCTAATCCACACTATCTCGGAACGCGCTATAACCCCTATCTGGCATCAACAAATTTCCTCCCCGACCCCGTCATCGCCACATTTTGACAGTTACCCATTTCCCGGTGGTTTATCGCTGAGATGTTGACAAAATCCAGCTCAACCGACAATAGGAATAGTTCCATTCGCCCCCCTCACCCCCAACCCCCCGTTTATGGGCGAGAGATCAACCGGGCGAACCGCAGAACGCCACATCGTTCGGTGTTCTATTTTCCGCCCGCGTTTCTCGAACTCGTTAAAAAGGAAAACAAACATTATGAAACGGCGGCCCTCTCGCGTGGGGCGGGGAGTATTTTACGTCTCATTCCGCGATCGCGGCCGGCCAGGGTCGTAGAGGGCCGGGGTTGCTATTTTAACCCTGTCCGAGAAGTTGGCCGTGAGGCGACAGGCTTGAAATCAAGTTCGCCGCACAAACAAAAGAAATCTAAAAGTAAATGTGTTTTTGCCGAGGTTTCTGCGATAAAGGTGGCGTTTTTTTTTTTTGATAAATTATAACATTCAACTTGATATTTGTGGTAATTATTTAATAATTTTCATATATTTTTTAATACATAAAATAACATTAACCATTATTACGGACGTTATAAGGCTACGTCGCTAAAGTGACGTCATACGCTTTGCATGTGACGTCACTTGAGAGATGACAGATGTATCATTCGACAAAGCAATGAAACGAAACGATATATGTTTATGTAGGCAGTAAAAGTTCAGTGAAAATAAATTGATATAAAATGCACTAAAGTGCATATCGCAGATTTGGTTATGAACAACAAGAAACGGTACAACTTTTAATTCATTGTTAGCACATTGGTGGGTCCTTTTAGAATGTTTATTCAGACTTATTAATACGTAGACACTCACACAGAAACTGACTAACAAAAACTAAAGTAGAAACTGCTAATAATCTAAAATTGTACAAGTAATTTTTTTGGTTGCTACGAAATACGGCGCAATAAAGGGTACGACACGCGCAATCTACGGCTACAAATATTCGTCTCTTTCTATGTAGGGGACTATTCCAGAGGTTCTCAAAACATTTTAACAGTTTTGATTAATTTTAAGCACCGTTTTACTGTTTCTATGGTTTTGATTATTGAAAATGCTGGTATTAACAAGCAGTCGACAGTCGAAAATTAAGTCTTGACCATTGATATTTTTCTTATGTAAACCGAAGTATTTCTTGTTGAGAAGATTTTAAAATAGCAAATGTTGCAACAATTACGGCTTATGGAAATATTGAACAGAATCAAATAAAAAAAAATGTTAAAAATAATTTTTAACAGAAATAATTTTTGTTTTTTTACTTAATCTGGCATTTCTTTGATCATGGCACTTAATTTAATAAGTGGGACATATATCATTCTGATAGAGGCTGCATAACATATACCTGCTAATTAAAAATTTTTTTAGTGAACCCCTTAAATCTCATTCGA